TCATGATCTGAGCAGATCTTGTGATAATGTTCGGTCCCATCTCTAATATAATACAAGTTGGAACTTGAATACTAGTAGAGTGGGTGTCGGCTAAATTGTTAGCTGAGCTCGGAATAATCGGTCTGCACGAACGGGGTTTGCTTTTATTTCTATTATGCAACAAATATACACCAAAATGCAGCTGTCATAAGATCAATTACTTGGCACCTCGCATCGGATGCTACATATATAGGTAGATTCAGCCCGACGTCACGGTCATTATAAATTGGAATACGTCCCTGAGGTCATCATAAGCAGCGTACAGTGCTAGTGTCGACTTTATTGAATGACAATGCGTTGGTAATTCTTCTCGTACAATATTGCCTAATTGGGCCCAATATAATTCCCAGCCCCGATCGATTGTACTTTTGCCCGGGTGGCGAGGATATAAAAACCAAACCCATGTCTTGGGTGAGAAAACCCGGAGCTATGGTAATGTAAGCCCTAATAAGCAACTTGAAAAGTATAGTACTATAACCCAATCCGAGAGCTGCGATCCGATCAGCAGGGTCAGACCGGGGTAATGGGGCAAAAAAAGCAAACCAAAACTTGAACAACGAAACTATTGGAATATCCTCTTGATTTCCAGGATTCCTATGCCGTTCAGCTTGAAGTTCGCTTCTCGGACCCAGAGCGGAAACAATCTCAAAGAACCATGACACCCTGACTTTTAACGCTAGATCGAATATATACCAATCAACAGGCGATCACAACTAGCGTACCAAACTACGAGAAAGCCACCGATCTATTCTTCATAAGCGGACTATGTATGGAACGGAGTAAAGAAGCATGACGTGTGAAGCTCAAAGGCAAAAAGGAAGAAGAAAAATTAGACGAACGCACCGACAAACGACTCCATAATCCCCGAGGCCCGAGATCCAAAGATCCATCGAAGCTCGTATTTGGAATCTCCGCGAAGGCGAGAAGGAACTTGAACTTGACTGAAGCAGAGTTTGACAATTAACAGTCAACGAGTCATGTACGGAGTACATGTATGCTAACTAACGAGTAATTACTGGGTTAGTCAACGCAGTTGCATACACTACTAACTACTACTAGTAGTATGTGCATACTCCTCGTACATGTTCGCCCAGGAGGTGGTAGGCACTCGGCGCTGGCACTGGAACCACCTCTTCAGCCCAGGTCACACAACATATACTCCGTAAGTACAGGGATAGAATTGTCGGGACTCCCGTCGTTTCAGACTCGGGGAATCCGAGGCTATCCGTCTCATATAATTACAGGATGGTGGGGACTTCGGAGAAGAATGTAGGCCGGAGGCGCGACGGGCAAAGTCACACAGCGTCTCATTTCCTGCTCAATACAAACAAGTGGATAGCAGATCTGCCCCCCCCTCCCTCCTCTTCTCCCCCTCCCCAGCCCACTTTCTCTTGTGGGCAAAGGCAAAGGCAAAAGGCAAAAGGAGGGGGCTGGGTCCCGACAGAGTGGTACACTAAGTGGGCACTTCTTTTTATTTTTATTTTATTTTATTTATTTATTTATTATTTATTATTTCGATTTCGATTTGATCCATTTCTCAATGAGGATTTTCTTTTTTCTTTTCACTTCTTGCAAACGTACTGTAGCAATAATGTAAAATTCCTAGTGATTGATGTGTTTGATTTAACCTCGGTAGTTCCACTGTGCTGGGACCACTTAGAATTTTCAGGGTTGAAGGATCCATGTACATATTTCACAGAGCGAGACCGAGAGAGAGCCCTCAAAAAAGCAAAAAACCAAGATGAGAAAGGGCCGAGAAAAAGGAGGAAAAAAGCACATAAGCTGGGGCAACCCCCTGTCACCCCCCCCCCCTTAAAGCGTGTACGGAGTAACGAGACCCAGCATTCCGGGTAGAGACAAGTCGATCCGCTTTCCCTGTCCGACTGTTCGAACCCAATCCTCGGGACGAGGAAATCTGGCGTTCCCGCAGGTTTTGATTTAGTTTCGATCATTAGCGGCCGGCGCCCCAGGCCCCAGGCCCCCAAACCTGGTTGGAGACCGGCGTTGTACTGCTTAGGCAGGTCCTTTCATTCGTGCACGGCCACTTTGATGACAGCGCGGTAACAAAATCATTGACCGAGTCTGAATGGAGATCTGGTCCCTGTTCCACACGGGATGTTTGGACTGCGAAACAGTATACGTAGTGGCATTCGTTTTCTCTCTCACACTCGTCCCGAGTACGTAGTCCGAGAGAGAACCGACACTAACGGGCCCAGCCGCTCTCACCCCCGAAGCTGGGACGCTGGAAAAGCTGGAAAAGCTGGGAGGGCCTACCTTCCCGAGGGTTGAACCATGGCGCTGGGATTAGAGCCAAACGGCCATGAGAGAAAAGTGCTCCCCAGATAGGTGCAAGTAACCCCTGTCGTGCGCTGCAGACCCGACACTTTGGATGCTTTGTTCACTTTTCGGGGAGGGGCCGTTCCTTCTGACTCCATCTGGCCATGCACGAACGTCCTGCGACACTGCACAGATGGGTCATGCAAAAAATCACCACTCGAATGAAGTCTCACCACATGGTGAAATGTTGGGGCCCTTCCCGACAAGCACTTGTGAACCTAAAAACCGGGCCCTAGGCCACATCATCATCCCCCCTCTCTCCCCTCTCCCTTCCAGAATGGAGACGGCTGAAGCCCACTGTAACCATCTCACCCGCCTCTGTGTTGTACAGCACAGACAAGGTACGTGTAGCATTGCCCTGCCCTGCTCTGGAGCCTAAGTACCTCGAACTTAGCATTCATCGTCGCATTTATTCCCTGTTTGGGTGGAAGCGTCGCAAGATTCTAGATGGAGCATTGACCCGAGTCGAATCCGCAGATGCCATGTATGTACTTAGCCCATTCGAGCACTTTGAAGAAATACATCGTGAGTTTCACGGAATCCCGAGGGATGGATAGTGGACACCCAACCCCCCTCCAGAAGGAACAAGCCCACATCTTGATGACATATGGAATGCAAAAATATGAAATCAAAAAGTGAAAAGGTTCTGAAAAGCTCGAGAGTGGAATCCTTTTCCGCATTTTCTCTTCCCAGTAGTACTCCATACTCCATACGGAGTACATATCCAGTTGCTTGGCTCCATGATCTTCGTTGCGTGAAGCTGACGAAGAGGAATGGATACTGTTCATATAAACTGGCACTGGTCGGTACTTTTGTGCACCTTCAGATCCGAACAATGCTCTAAGTATCCCTGTAGCGCATCTGCAGGTATTAATTAACCATACGTTTCAATCCAGCCTCCAATGTCCCTTAGGCTCCGCAGGACAAGCGGTGTGAGAGGTAGGAAATGAATTAATCCACTAGAAAAATCCCGAGGGAACGGAGCCCAACGAGGATGCTGCTGATCCTGAACCCGGTCCTGGGACCAGACAACCCCACTCAGATTGGGGGTTGCCATCGGGTCCTTTGGAACCAGCTGTAAAAGCCACTTGGCGCCACAGTACTGCATGCGCATTGGTCAACGGGTAAGGGACCACCCCGACGTGTGTGATCGTATTGGAAACCTGTCACTGGGTCGCTGGTCCAATTGCTGGTTTTTGGTTTGACTGACAGCGGGAGTTAGGCGAAGATCCATTCCCGTGTCCTCGGAATCTCACAATGCAGGGCTTTCGTTTGGCCTGCGTTCTGGCTGGCGCAAGGGCTGGTTCGAATCTGGTTCGAATCGAAATGCTAGAAATTAAAGGTCGTCACCTCCGAAGACCTCGGACATCTCCTGATAGTTATTTCATGCATCCCTTTCTATCGCGGCTGACGGCCAAATCCAAATTTCGCGAGTGATAGTCGGTGGTAGTTTTTGATTTTATTAATATATTTTTTTATTTCCGATTTTTTGATGTTTCTGATCCCTTCTTGGCCGAGTTCCATTACATCATTGGCTCGTGCCAATGGAAATGTGGTTGTAGCGATACTCCCTCGTGCTGAGAAGGGAGAATATGATCTATTCGAATTGATTTTCCATAGCCTGGCGCCTCAGCCGCTGGACCTTGCCTGACTTCAGCCAGCTGAGCCACAGACGTATTCCTTATGATGGAGCAGGAGATGTGCAGTTGAAGCGGCAAAATGACTAAATTTTGCCTCGATCCACACTGTCGGGCGCTCTTGGGCCCCTCGAGGTACACCAAAGAGGTCATATGCGAGCGGCGAACACTGCATTAGTTGACGGCACTGCCGCCTATCCTCAAGGTTTGTTAGCTTAGCCTTAAGCAGCATAACGGACCCAAGTAGTCTATCCTGATACTTGGTATGTATTCAGGAGCGCCGGAGTTGTGTTCGTGAACCATTCCTCGGCTAGTAAACCGACCCGCCCTTTTCCTTTCGCCCTTGGCTCCATGTACAACCCACCCCTCGGGAGTAGAAAAGGAGTTCCTGACGCAAAGGTCGAGTGAGCAGTAGTTCGCGTCAGTGGGGAGACCAGGATTATTCACAGGAAGGTTCCGCAGGCGACTAGGAGGCCGCGTTCGTTGTTGATCGTATTCGATCGGTTGTCGCTCACAACAAGACTTCATTACGGAGCAAAGGCTTTCAGAAATTGAAGCCTGATCCGTACTGTCATCAGAGGATTCTTGTATCGGAAAAGAGGCCACTTCCGACGAAGGACGTTTGACGGATTGGGCGGACCACACTCGCCCTCTCATTCGTACTCGTACGTTTTAGTGCGTGTCTTGTATGACTGTGGCCCCCTCATACAGGCCTTGACAGGTGCCCACGAAGCCTGAATGATCCTCGAGCCGCCATCCAGTCCGAGAGAGCCGTTGCCGCCAACGTCCCCCAGCACCCGATCGCGTCCATGAAAATCACAGCACTTTGATTTCCTCTCCCCTTCAGCACTGAAGGCTGCTGCGCCCCTTGGCCCCGGACAATTCAGCCCCGCCCTTCGCCAAACTCGTCAAACGGATTCGCATATATAGGGGACCATTCTTTACATCCACGACAATCTTAATAATTAGTAGAGAAAGAGGGTGAACATGACGTACTGACAAGCCTTTCATTGATCTTCCCTTCTGTGCTCAAAAAAGCTAACCAACATCTTTGGTCTTTGTTAGCAGCCCAGACTCGCAAACAGTAGAACTGGATCGTGAGTTCCTCGACACTGTCACAGTTCACGGCCGCGAGTATCAAAAAATATTCCATCGACCACCGGGTATATTTTGGACCAGTCGACGATGTAAGAGGAACTGGGAGGAAGGAAGTCTTAAAAAAGGCTCTTGATCACTGACAGCATGACTAGGAAGAAGCACAACGCCTCGACGAAGAACAGCGAGTCTTTCAGCGTATTTTCGATGACCGTCTAATCTTTCCACCAATTCGACGACCACAGAGGGTCCTTGACTGTGGTCACGGCTCTGCATCATGGGCCGTAGAGGTCGCAGAACAGTATCCAGACTGTCAAGTGAGCATATTTTCCGACGCAGTCTCTGATTGTCACCTAACATTCGTTGGTGTCAATAGGTTATTGGCGTAGACATTGCCCCGCACATGAGCCCTGACGATGTGCCTGAAAACCTATGGCTTCAAGTGAGTGCAACCTTTCTTCGACATCACCGCTGATAGTGCCACTGTCTTGCCTATGCTGTCGATCCCGACTTTCCATTCTTTATGACTGGCACGCATGTCGTAGATGGATGCTGGGCCCACACTGGAACGTGTGACCCCTGGAAAACAAGTGCTGACGAGACTCTGCGTAGGTTGACAACCTGAACCGAAACTTCACATTCCCCGCGAACCACTTCGATCTTGTCCAGTCTCGACTTCTTGCGACCGGTATCCACCATTCTCGATGGCCAACCTATGTCCGCGACATTGTGAGGTACGCACAACTCCCAGAGTGAACGACAACAGAAATGCCGGCAGTTTCAAACCATCACCCCCATTTGAAATGACCGTGTTACTGATGTCTTCACTCTCTCACAGGGTGCTGAAACCAGGCGGATGGGTTCAAATGATCGAAATATACTTCAATGTCCAATCGGACAACGGTTCAATCACTGATGAGCATGCCTTGAGACGATGGAGCACACAATACATGCGCGCACAAGAAGACCGAAAGGATCTTAGGATTGGGACCAGGCTGCGAAGCATGTTGACGAGTGCGGGGTTGACAGAGGTCGACACGAAGATGATTCCACTTCCATTGTCTGCATGGGGGAATGGTAAGCCATCTTCTTCCTTGATTTTCTCAGAGGAAGCAGTCTTGACACAATACAGATCAGAGGACACGCGATATCGGCCAGGCCAACAGCGGTAATATTCAAAAGCTTCTTCGATCCTTAGCACTATACCCTCTCACGAAACGACTGCACATGTCGATTGAGAACTTCGACACATTGGTGGAACAGGCACAGGAAGAGGCCAAAGATCCATCTCTCAAAGCATATTTCCCCTTGTAGGTGCAACTACTCGAGACGTGTCTTCAGAAAATCACTGACTCGGCAGATACGTTTGCATCGGCCGAAAGACATGAAGGAAGTTGAGTGTAATACAACAGCGAAGGTCTGTCACGGACCACTGCACATATCATTGCGGACTCAGGATGCCCATGGGCACCATGCGGATCACTTGGCGCTTCGGTTCATTTTGCATTTGCATATTTTGCATTTTCAGAAGCATATACATATTGGACTAGCAAAAGACGGTTAGTGAAGCAAGTGTTCTTGGTTGCATACGTGCTTTTTGTGGGGCAGCAAGTGCCACATTGCTTTTTCAGTGTGATGCTGCGGGATGCGTCTCTTCGGGTCACTTGTAGGGTAAAAGAGGAACCCTAGAGACCGAGCCATAACAGAGCGACATGGTCGCACAGAAACAACCCCCCCCCCCCCAGCAGACTGGGTCGGGCAATGATCCTGATAGCTCCAAACCACCAATTTGAGTGTTCCTTCGGGATCCCTGAGAAGATAGGTGCTTGAGGCTCATAAGGGTCTTCGGGGGGATCGTCGCGGATGTGGTTCCGTGCGGATCGGGAGGATCACCAGGAAGATCCGAGGCCCATTCTGGGCCATGGCAGATATGACGTTCGGGTGAGATAGAGGCTCGGTGGCTTTCCTTTTGAAATAATGACCAGGGTGATTAAGCTCTTAGCATGTCGAGAGAAGATGAGAAACGCTCATGAGTGGGTGGGAGGCGGTACGGAAGAATCCTAAGAGAGCTATGATTTGATCCGACCATATCATATCACGCCGAGATCTCAGATTGACCCTTCATGGTGAGAAAGAGGTAGAGAGAGGCGAGAAATAAGATGCCAACGTTGGGATGAGAACGGGAAAAGAGAAGAGAAGCCAAAGAGAAGCAGGAGGGGGTTGACCCAGACTGACGGGAAGCAGGGAAGGAGAGACCGGGGGAATCGACCATTCGCATTCGCGCCTGCCTCGAGATTTGGATGTGCACAACTCAACCTTAACTCAACTTCGGGCACTTTTTTCCACCTCAACTCATCACTGCTACCAGTACTATTACTGTCATTGCTGCCCAACGGTTGCAGGGGGAGCACGATACACACCCCGGCACAACAAGTTTCCATGGTACGCGCGCTGGAGGATTGTTTACCCTGCGCTTGGTCCTAGGCACGCTATGAAGTGCCTTCTCCTCCCCGACCATTCCGATTTGATCTACAGTCCTGATCATTTGTTTTACTGGCACCTTGTCAACAGCAGCAGCAGCAGCAGCAGCAAAGGATGTCTCTCACAAAAGGTCCATGCCTCAGCCTCACAGGTATTCCGGGGGGCGAGCCGTGGGGGATACAAAGCCAGGTCGAGCCCAAACCGAGCTTTCTGGGGGCAAAGCACCCACCGAACACACCGTTGGCGTCTCCTTACTCTGGCCAGACATCCCCGTTCCAAGGTGCCGGGTTTCAGTGCCCTATTAGAGTTCAGAATGGAATGCACCCCAAGCTAGCGAGATCAAGCATCGACCGCCAGATCCTGGAAATACGAAATGCGCCATTCAATGGCTTTGAATCGGAACTTGAATTCCTATCCTTCTCTCTTGCTACTCTCATCCCCTGAACTTCTCCGAGACACCAAAAGCTCCAGACACAGGCCAGACCTGCCCACCTTCAGAGCTACCGGTCCTAGCTCCCGTGCTATGGGTCTGCCCCTTCAGGGGCTCCGGCAGGGACCAACGGAGAGGCTACGAGTACATATCGTTCTCGGTAGACACTAGAGAACAGTGCCCAATGCATCACACAAAAAGCTATCCACCCAATCGCAAGCCTTGCGAGTCGCCGGAATCCAGTGGTCTGCAGGGTTGTTTAGTGGGAAATGCAAGTGTGCATTTCCCGGAGTCTTGGTGTGGAGCAGAACCGTTGTAGGTAGAGCTGTGTAGAGCAATCAAAATAAAAGGACGGCAAAGGGCCTCCAATTTCCAGCCATACAGCATGCGTTAAAACCACCTTGTGCGATGTGAAGTATGCACGCCAAAACTCTCAACCACGCCTCGCCCGATCTAGATTATTCGACACCTGAATCCTGAGGCATCAAATCTTACCTAATCGGGCAAGGCGGCAAGCGGGGAGAAAAAAAAGTTGGCGCGCGGATTTTCATTTGAGCTGCTACCAACAACTTTGAGCACCCGCCACAATGCCTTCCACATACAATAAGGAAAAGGCATGGGATACGGAGGATATTGATAAGTGGAAGGTAAATTCAATCGTTCCGCAACGAAACCAAAAAAACCCCACCCAGACAAGCTAACCATTCTTTTGCGCCCAGATCGACGAGTTCAAACCCGAAGACAATGTCGCCGGAAACTTCGCTGAAGAGTCCTCTTTCGTCATCCTGTTCCCCAAATACCGAGAGAGTTACTTGAAGGAAGCATGGCCGACGATCACAAAAGCCCTGGAGAAGCAGGGTATCGCCTGCACACTCGATTTGGTGGAGGGAAGCATGGCCGTGAAGACGACTCGCAAAACCTACGACCCAGCCTCGATCCTGAAAGCGCGCGACCTGATCAAGCTACTCTCGCGTAGTGTCCCCGTCACACAGGCCATCAAGATTCTCCAAGACGACATGGCCTGCGACATCGTCAAGATCCGCAACCAAGTACAGAACAAAGAGCGATTCGTCAAGCGACGCCAGCGAATCCTAGGCCCTAACGGATCAACCCTTAAAGCCCTCGAACTCCTCACCAGCACCTACATCATGGTCCAGGGTAACACCGTTTCCGTGATGGGCCCATTCAAGGGCCTCAAGGAAGTCCGCCGCATCATCGACGACTGCATGGCGAACATCCACCCAATCTACCACATCAAGGAGCTTATGATCAAGCGCGAACTGGCCAAGGACCCAACTCTGGCCAACGAGTCCTGGGACCGCTTCCTGCCCAACTTCAAGAAGCGAACTCTCTCCAAGCGCCGCGTCCCGTTCCAGGTTACCGACAAGTCGAAGAAGGTGTATACGCCTTTCCCGCCCGCGCCCGAGAAGAGCAAGGTCGATCTCCAGATCGAGTCTGGCGAGTACTTCCTTTCCAAGGAGGCCAAGGATCGTGCGCAGAAGGAGGAGGTTGTCGAGCGTCAGCGCTTGAAGCGCGACGAGAAGATGCGCGAGCGCGAGAAGGACTTTATCGCGCCCGAGGAGACTCTTCCTGCCGATGCCGAGGGCAAGAAGAAGGAGAAGAAGGACAAAAAGGACAAAAAGGAGAAGAAAGAGAAGAAGGAAAAGAAGAGAAGCGCAAGCGCGATTCAGAGGATGCAGGCGTGGACGATGCTGCCGAGCGCAAGGAGAAGAAAAAGAAGAAGAGCAAATCCAAGGAGGCTGCTTCCGACGAGGAATAAACTGGCTACGTCTTTCGGTCTGGTTCTATTTTGGCGCTTCTGGCAGAGCATGGGTCTGGCGTTTAAATCTTTTCCTCCTTTGCAGTGCTCTCTGTGTTTCTCATGGATTTGTATGTAAAATGATCAATACCAAACTGTCTTTTACTTTCTACAACATGCTTTTCAAACGGTCAAACAAGAATCCATACGCTTAACGGAAGGGTAAAAAAAAGAGTTAAGCCTGTAAGACACTATCAAAGATAAAACATCACCCTTCACCCCGTAAAATCATTAGTTGCTTGTTCTCTGTAAGCTGGTGTTGCCTCCGTTAAGCCCTCAGGCTCATTGCAGTCCATGATAAAGAGGATCATTGGATTCTTCTCACAAGGTATGCCCTAAACCGCATTGTAACGTCCGAGCGGCTCTGCAGGCGAGTGGTGTTCCTCGAGGTGGCTGACTGTAGGCTCCTGCTTATCAACCATGCCCATTTCATGAGCAAAAGTATCATGGGGCTTCCACTTAGCACTAGTCATGGGAGTAGACTCCTCAAGCATCTTGTCGACTTGCTCCAGAGATAGACCCTTGGTCTCGGGAACGACGAAAAAGGCAAACATGAAGCACAAAACGAGAGCGCTGCCCCAGACGAAGAATACCTTGACTGCCAGATTACCCTTGTCCTCGTCCACAATGTACGGGGTGATGACCGCAATGATACAGTTCCAGAGCCAGTTTGAGGCTGTTGCAAGCGCGACGCCCTTGGCTCGAATGGGGAGTGGATAGATCTCGCCGATGACGACCCACGCAGCAGGGACCCCAGGTGGTAGCAAACGCAGCGATGTAGAAGCAAGTGAAGACGATCAAACAGATCTCTCTGTGTGAAAAGTAGCACGAATGTCAGTTCACCGCTCACTATCGTTGTATATTGAAATTATCCTTGACTTACGCAGCGTGTTGTCCCTTGGCGGCAACGCCAACGATGGCGACGATAAACTCGCAGGCACACATGACAGCGGCACCATAGATGAGGAGCTTACGGCGACCAAACTTTTCCATCATGTAGAACGAGGCGGGGGTGGTCGTAACATTGACAATGCCTGTGATGGTCGAGATCAGGAAGGGATTCTTGATGCCCACCTGCAGGAAGAACGTGGTCCCGTAGTAGACTTGAAGTTTGTTAATTATAGAAACATCTCACAATCCTTCAGTTCAAACTCACAGATGAAGTTGATACCAGTCCACTGCTGGAACATTTGCAAACAAGTTCCCATGATCACTCGGTGAAGATTTCCACGGCGAGACATGCCCCCTTTGAAGCAGTCGGCCCAAGAAGTGCTCGCAATTTGCTTTTCGTACTCGAAGTTGGCTTTGATCTCTGCAAGTTCTGCCTGAATAGCCGGATTGGTTCCGGGCTGACCTCGAACTCGCTCCAGGAACGGAGGGCATCCTCCATCCGACCACATTTGACGTAGTAGCGAGGGGACTCGGGGAGGAAGAAAAGTCCAACGGCGAGAATGAAGGCCCAGATGAACTGCATTCCAATGGGAATACGATAGGAGGACCGATCAGGGCGATTTTTGCAGCCTTGATCGACGCCAGATGCCACGAGTAATCCGATTGTGATCGCCCATTGGTAGACGGAAACCAACAGCCCGCGGACTTTGCGAGGACTGATTTCAGAGACGTAAAGGATGACAGTAGCAGAGACACCCCCAACACCCAAACCAGCGACGAATCGACCTGCCACAAGACCAGCGATGTTGACGGTACCGACTTGGACAGCCACGCCAATGGAGAAGATCAGACACGAGAGCATGATGGTGAGGCGACGGCCAAGACGCTCAGCGGCACCGCCACCGATCAAAGCGCCGATAAAGGTGCCGGCAGAGAGGATGGATGTGATGAGTGACTTGCGCGAGGTGGCAATGATGTAGCCGTCCGGATCCTTGGACTTTGGCACCACATGGCCGAAATGTTTCTTGACATAGGGCATGCCTAGAACACCCGAGATGTAGCCAGAGTCATAGCCATAGAGAATACCTGAAACAAGTAAGATTCAACAATCATAAAATCGAGAAGTTTGTTAGTACTAACCTCCAAAGCTGGCGAAGCCACAAATCAGATAGGCATGCCAGGTGACTGGGGCCTCGATGAGGTTGAGATCAGCCGTGCCGACAAGGTGGCTGGCCATGTTGAGATCATGGGATGGCTTAACAAAGGAGAATATTTTGATAGGAGACAATCAAGTGAGTCAATTATTGGGTGAGGTTGACCATGTGGGATAAGGAAAGGAAGAGGAAGAGGAGGGGAAGAGAGGGAGGAGAGGGAAGCAAAGCAAAGCAGGCCTAATGTGGAAGGTGCCGTCAGCAAAAACCAACAAGGCAACGGTGAACGGTGACGGTGACACACAAAACGGGAACATTCACTGGGAGATACTATGGAAAAATAATTATTGTGAGACATGGAATATGGAATATGAGTACCCTAATCCTAATAATTGGCATTGATAAGGTCATGTTATGTGGTACTCAGTAAGGCCATCTTCTTTCATATCATCTTTCTCCAAAGGTCTTGATTCATTGTTACATGATCAAGAAGTACATTTGGGATTACTCCTCCATTACGGTGTGACTATACACGCCATATACGGTATCTTCTTCCTTACTCGTAAGATATCATCAACTGATAGGGATTTAAGCATTTGGAGATAGGGATCTCGAATCTCGGGATACAAGGAAACCCCTGATATAAAGGTACCAGAGCCACGATTTCTCTATATTACACAGAAACATCAATATCAAAACCTTTTCGAGTGACAAAATAAATCCCTCGGGGTCCAGCATTGCCGTGAATGCTTCTAGAATCCTCGATTGCCACGCTGGTCAGCCGTAGAAATCCCACCTGGCCGAGTCAATAAGTCGCACAGGATTCGGACCCCGGATGAAACCCGAGAGGGGTACAGCCATTCAGCGGGTAGGGATGTCGTATGCAACTAGCCGTCCAGCGGGGAAATAATCTCAGACTGAACTGACTGCTAGACGCGAAGTGATTCAAAGGAGTCTACGCGTACATTTCACTTCGACTTCGATAGTATGGTCAGCAAAATTTGTTAATAATTCAAAATATCATTATCAATTAAAGACCCGAAACTGATATAACAACACGCCGATTTAGAGAATAGTACTAGATATCGTACTAGTAGCTAGTTAGGCAGTAGGGATATACCGCCGGCGCAAGGACGCCTGCGCTAGCCAGAGCCGTTCGCTCGGAACGAAACAGTAGACAAAACTCCGTCAAGAATCTGAGTAGCATCAGAGGGTAGCTCTTGTACCCTCCAAGCAATATAACCGTCGGGCCGAATTAAAACGGCTCCGCTTGAAGAGACACCAAAAGCCTTCTGGAAATCTTGCTGCCGGGCAAGCTGTACATCGTGACCAAATTGGAGAGATTGAAGGGGGATAGGCGAGTCCTTGGCCACGCTCGTAGCAGCATCACGCCAAACAGAACTCTCGGAAACAACTGTCCACCTGTTATGGTCAAGTAAATCCAAGAGCGGAACTCGCTCCCCACCCTTGAAGACCCAAATATGAGGAGAAAGGGTACCAGGCTGACCATTCCACTCATCAGGTTTCATCGCCCTCGGCACACCCTCATCCGTCCCAACAAAACCCTTAGAAAGGTAAATCTGACCAAACTCCATAGCATCATCGTCGATCTTCTCGCCAGCAGTCGTAGCCGCATCAAGATGCACTTTATAATCCGCACGCACGAAGATCTGATCATGCCGCAGCAACGCAACAGGACGTCTCTCGGCATCATACGTGTCCAAGATATCCTCTGACGATGTTCCAGATAGAACAGCCGAGAGTTTCCATGCAAGATTATGCACGTCGTGGATACCGGTGTTCGCGCCATATCCACCCCGATTTGGCGGTAGGGTGTGCGCCGCGTCGCCGGCGAGAAAGATTCTTCCGGATCGAAACGTGTCTGCAACAAGGGCAGTCAATTCCCAACTACCGGTGGTGATTATTTCAATGGGGAAGTCGGATCGTCCGATAGCTTGGTAAATTGCCTCTCGAAGGGCATTCTCGTCGCGCTCGATGTCGTCTTTGAACATTAGTGCCCATCGTCCATCACTGTAGGAAGCGAGAAAGGCTTTGAGGTCGGTTTGTTCAATGTCGAATTGTACGATTCCTTTCGTCCATGCTTCTATCGGGGCGCGGAATAGGACGCTGTGCAGGTTTTGCATGAATCCTCTGCCGTGGCGTGGGATTTGGAGTAATTCACGAATTGTGCTCCGGTTGCCGTCCGCGGCGATTACGTAGGAGCCTTTGATTTGATGCTGATCTCTTTGAGTGTCTTGAACGGTGACGGTGACTCCTTCGGTATTTTGATCGAACGATATGACCTTCTGTTGCCGGCGAATATCAGCGCCTCGCTCGAGTGCAAGTGCTTCGAGAATGGGCTCTAATTTATCCTGTGGGATGGCTGAGCCACGTTCCACCGAATACTCCTTTTTGGGACCATCGGGCTTCGAAGGTTTTTGTTCATGTTTGTTGGTCTCAGAGGTTCTCTTGGTGTCAGACCAGGACGAGTTATTGACCCATTCGCCAGTCACTCTTTCGACGTGGGCGCGCTGAAGAACGAAGTTTTCGGGTGCGGGGTCCTTGTTCTCGATTCCAAGAGAACGATAAATTTCCATGGTCCGGGTTGTAAATCCAATAGCTCGCGGGTGCTGGGAAATTCCTCCATGTTTCTCGAGGACGATGGTTGGTACTTTTTGGGAGGCCAGGCATAGAGCTGCGGAAAGCCCAACGAGACTGGCGCCCACCACGATGACAGGCTGTTGAGATATGGACATTGTGGAATATGGAAATTGTTTGTACTTATATTCAGGATGATAACCTTGGAAGAAATATCATTAATTGTGTCTGGTGAAATAGAAACAGGGCCAGCTTATAAACAATTTGACGGGAGGATACTCGGCGCCGAGACGAGGTTAACTGTTTTTGTTCGGCGCCGAGGCCTACCATTCATCGATTCCGGGCCTGACAGCACAAATACTAGTACCACATGTTTAATGCTGGTCATAGTAAATTTAGGTATGTCCAATTTAGATTGTGGAAAACAAATACAAATGATATTTAACGCCAGTCGTGTATGGGCGGCATATGAACTATATACAGGGGCCGAATATGTGAACCAGACCAAGGTATGCTTCCAAGGTCCTTGATCTAGACAGCGTTCGACACACTGCTCTCCGTCGCAGAGGCTCCATTGCCCCTCAAGCGTCGCAGCTTGTCGACTAAAAACTTCTCTTGTTCCTCCTGGCTCTTCTTGAGGTCGACCCAGAAGAACAAGACGCCAAAACTAACCAAGCTGAGCGCGAAGAGGAAGTAAAACGGAGTCGAGTTGTTGTGACTAGGGCTCGCGTCAATAATGGCGCTAGAGACAATAGGCCCGATAAAGGAAGAAGTTTTGCCGATGATGCTGAACAGGCTGAAAAAGAGGAACTCGTGGCCTCGAGGTGTGACCTCGGAGATCATGATTTGAGAGTAGCTGTACCAGGGGCAGACAAAGAAGCCATAGTACGCTTGGTAAACCTTTGTTGACAGCATGTTAGCATCGTTTTTTGTAACCGTCTTCGCCGCATTTCAACTTACCCAGACTTCCCATGTGTTGTGGAATCCAAATTTGTTTGTCCAGATTCCGATCATGCCCCAGCCGTCCAGAAGGATGATCGCAACCGCAATGGTATTGAACATAGTTTTAGTGCCTAGTCTATAGCGCTTTTGTACAAACCAGAAGGTATAGATACCAGCCGCCTGTGTTGGTTGGTATAAGTGTTAGGGGGTTTCTTTCGGGGTATCCAGCGGGAATGCAAACATACCTGGGCAGCGATTCCCACAATCAGGAGATACGTCAATTGTAAGGTATTATAAGCCACGATACTATTTTGCAATGTAGCAATCACCGTGACAGTAGTGTTCAAAGAGTCTCCGAGCAAGAAATATCCTATGATAGTATGTGGTCAGTCTTGGAATCACAACTTGCAAGCCGATTCAGGGGAAGTATTACCAACAAGGTAGATGAAGCTCTGCTTCAATTTCCAAATCTGTTGCATCGCATGCCAGACTTGCCATATTCCCGCAATCAGGACACCCCGTGGACCGGGATCTTGACCGGGGCGGCGCTTCTCCAGGAAGAACCAAGGCAAAGAGACAAGCAGCCATACGCCCGAGACAAAAGCAATAAGCACACTAAGCCCCCAGTTGTTTTCCTCTTGGCCGGCATTGACATCGAGGCCAAACATAATACCGACGATGACGGCTAGAATGACAACCTCTCCACAGGACTGCACATAGAAGGCGACATTGGCGAGATGGCTACGCGCCATAGTGTCGGCATAGTCGTATTCATCGCGAGTGATTCGCCCCGCAGTAAATGCCTCGGCCTTCTCCTTCATTTCAGAGGTGTTACGAGCTAGTCCGGGGAAGGCGGCGGTCCAGAAAGTCAAAGTGGTTTGGTAGGCGATCAGACCAACAATATAGAGTCCGACCGCAACCTCCCATTTGTCCCATGTATGCACCCCGAGCCAGCCAAACCCAATACCCCAAGCAATGATGGAGAGAGCGATCAGGATGTTGGGTCTCCAGTAGCCAAAATCGGCGAAACTACCGATGGTCAAGAAGACAAACACTTGTATGGCAAACGAGATGCCGTTACAAAGTAGTACGATACTGTTTATGGACCGGGGACTTCCCGCAAACTGCATGACACCGTCGGAAGGTGCGGCCTGGTATAACAAATTCTGGAAAGCCGTGGGCGCGAAGTCTATCACATAGGGTATTAGAAGAGGACCTCAGGGTCTTGGGATCTCCCGAGGTTCGCGAAGATCGAACGTACTGAATAGCGACAATCCATTGTTTCCGATATAATAGCTAGATATGGGGTGTCTTTAGTTTCAAGCCCCAAGTTTGAGCCTGCTTCCTCTTCAACGAACAACGCACGCATAATAAGCCCAGATCTCATTCTTGGTCGTGCGATAATTGTCATCGAACTGATCGGGAGCCACGAGCTGCTCCGACTTGTCCCCGAGGGCAATCTGAGACACGTCGTGATCCACCTCCTCGGCGGAGAGGGTGTGCTTGTCTTTATCGGGCTCCATGATCCCAGGATCACTCGAGGGGAATAGCGAAGGGAGTGAGAAAAGGAGGAGAGAAAGAGGAGAAGGGAAAAAACAAATTGACTGATAAATACGGGAGTTCTGTCTGGCTCGGCCGCTCTTGCCCCGCGCGGTGCCAAACCCTGTGTAGCTTCAAACGGCCAGTCGCATTGGATTGAAAGTGCCGATCGCACGATAACAATCTGGGTAGGCCCCACGCTATGCCCGCGTCCGGCCTAGATAGACCTTAGCGACTCGGCCCGGGACCTATCACAGCCATCATACACCGGACGTGCATTTAGTGGAAAGATAATGGTCCGGCTTTTCTATTACGCGGCTCAGATTTGGCGGGCGTAGAAGATGTATACTGGCCAGACTTGGGAAAGCAGTGGAAGGAGGTAACATTTTGGGTAGGGTATTTATCAGATGCAAGATAGTAGGCAGCGAACGAACCCTTGGAACTCCACTAAAAACGATCGGCTTCCCGGCGTCTGGGGTAGTCACGCGCTTTGCCGACCGTACGGCCAAAACACCAGTGACAGTGGGTCATTGTGACTCCAAGCCTGCAGGGCTAGTCCCAATACTACACAAAAGATGAATACGAGTCCAGAGTGAAAGGCACCGACTGGTTGAGTATTTCCGTGGGATCTGCTGGTACAGGGCAAGATCACATCCTCAAAGGGTGCAGTGACCTGCCAGGGCCAGTGCCAGTGCCATATCCACGTGACCGGGTGTCTATAATTATGCGGCACAAATCAAGATCCATACGAATAGTGCTACCGTACTAATAACCTTAGAATGGCATACTTTCACTTGAGAATGATCTGACGACTTTCTAGTAGCTATTTCAAACATACTCCGAATCATCATGGTTGGCAGCATACTTTTATCAACACCTAGCTGAGACCAGTGATCATTCTGCACGGACCGCGACTCTTCCAAATTTGCTATTTGATAGGCTCTCAGCCCAATCCGAACTTAAATACGAGAACCCCTCGAGATCAGAAGAATTGGCGGTTTTAGGGTTCCGAAGGCTGAAGCCAAGCAACTGTCATCTCAATGCCAAGGTGATCGACGTGGAAATTTCAAACTAAGTGAACGGGAGTTGAGGAGAATTCCAATTCCATTCCAATTCTACCATTGCGAGCAATTGAGCATCAGTATGGGGCTAGTAGTACAGAGCGCAACTAAATTGGACACTACCTTAGTGAGCAGGATTGCGTGGATGGGAAGGAACCAATTTTCGGGATGTTCGCATGGGAAGGAGCGAGGGGGAACATCCATGATTCATGACATCATCCTCATCACTTTTTTCTCCCCTTGGCCATGCCCTTGACCCTTTGGCCTCATTTTTGTGCACAAATGTGCCATGCATCAATTCCAAGTCTACGAGTACTAACTGCTACGAGTACTAACTGCTACGAGTAATACTAACATTGCCACCCACGCCTTCTCGGATCAGACGGAAGACAAGCACTCGCTAACGAAAGACGGCCCACTTGGTTCAGCCATGCCGTTGGATACCTCATTTCGCGCCGCCCCGTTAGTTGAAGCACGCTCAACTTGATTGCGGACGCCAATGGATCAATCAGTAGTACCCATACAACCAGTTGTGGGTCAGGACAGGAACTAACAGGTGGACCGAAGCCTCTAATTGACTGGAGACCTTCTTCCTCATGTGAAGCACTGGCGATGCCAACCAGGAAATCACGATGATCGGATGGCCATTGCGTATCCCTCCTCCACTCCAGCTTCGGAGGGGGGTTGGAAGAACTCCGCACTCGCTGTTAGTCTATATGTTGACCCTTGTATCCACCAAGGGTCTTTCTGTCTGGTTTTTCTCTTTCGTCTCTAATCCTCTTCTTCACTCGAGAGGAGGTCGGCGCCTTTTTTCACCAGTTTCCTCCCTCATCGACCACCGCTGCCGATCCCTGGTGATAACAGAGCCATTTTCGCTCTGTCTCCACTATAGCTTGAACATTTGAAAAGAGTTTACCCGACAAAGATTTGACTCCAAGTCACAATGGAGGAAGGGAATCCTAGACGCCCGAGAGCCGTGGTGAGTGCACTTCAAGTTCTAGATATATCATGTTGGAGATTTATACCAAGTTCTTGTCTAACATGGTCGCTACTACTAGTCTGGTGCTAGAGGTGAAGCGCCTACTTCACCTACTCGAAGTAATCGCGAATTGAGAGATGATGACGCTGTTTCGCCCACTCGCCCATTCCCGGCAATCGATGAAGCTCAGGAGGGTATTCGTCGTCGAAGCTCCGCAGCAAGAAGCCGTGGTAGCGGAGTGCCGAGCCTCGCCCCAAGAACAACCCTGGCACAGAGAACCGCAGGCAAGTTCACTTTGGCGGGACCCGATGACACTCCTCAGATGGCACTTGCCCACGAGCCATTCGTGCAGCCTGGATATGCCGACCTGAACCCTTCTTATGAACAACCAAGCAATGCAAAGCCCGTGTGGTCGCTGGCCAAGCCATTGCCTCGCGTGGTACGACCAGGAATGGTACCGACCAAAGAAGAGCTGCTCGAAAAGCGTGCCAATGCCCAGCTTCCTGCTGAGAACTCCCAGAGGATTGGACTGGACGTGGATCCAAATGACCTCGAACAAGGCAGGATCGATAAAACCACGGACCCGCGAAAGATGGCTGCACAGGTGGAGGATGCTCGTCTGCAGCGTGAGGCAAACTTCATGAACAAGGTTCTGAATGGAGAAACAGCAACCTCTGTTGGTGGAAGACGCTCCCGACGTTTCTCTCGGACGTCTAATCAGGTGAGACGCCCGTCCCAATGGGAAGATCAGCTATCGACTGTGGAAGAAGGCGGATCTCAAGCGACCGATGATGGCCAAGGCCAGAACAAGCCACCTGACTATCTGGTCGACGATCCGCTCCAAACTGTCCCAGAGGTTCCGGAGAACGCGATAGATGATGATGAGCTGGCCGCCAAACTGGAGTTCCCAGGCCTGGACAGCGCAACGGTCCCAGAAGATCTACACCCATTAGTGCAGGATCTCGTTGAAGATGAGATTCACAACAATCACACTACCTGGTCCGTCATTCGAACACACCACCGTGAGGCTCTAGCCGAAGCTCTAGCTGTCTTTGTCCAATTGACTATTGGATTCTGTGCCGACTTGTCCGTGACCGTGGCAAACGCGGGAAACCCCAACACCACTGCATGGGCCTGGGGTTTCGCTACTATGATCGGTATCTACATCTCTGGTGGTATTTCCGGTGCTCATCTTAACCCGGCGATTACTATAATCCTCTGGTTCTACCGTGGCTTCCCTAAGAGCAAGATGCCCGAATACTTTGCCGCTCAATTTCTCGGCGCTTTTTGTGCTGGGCTAGTGGCGTACGGGATCTACTACGAGTCTATCGCTGACTACATTGGTAGTAACGTCGACACTGGAATTGTGACAAGCTTCGTGACCGGCCAACGCGAGACTTGGATTAGCCCTGCCACGGCCTTCTTCACTGAATTCCTCGGTACGGCCTTCCTTGTAGTGACTGTCTTGGCCCTCGGTGACGACCAGAACGCACCGCCTGGAGCTGGTATGAGCTCGTTGATCATCGGCCTTGTCATCACCTGTCTGAGTATGACATTTGCCTACCAAACCGGCGCTGCCTTCAACCCCAGCCGAGACTTCGGTCCTCGACTTGCTCTCCTCGCTCTTGGTTACAGTAGTGATTTGTTCCTTAACCCATACTGGTTTTATGGTCCGTGGGTGGGCGCTGTGGGTGGCGGCTTTTTCGGTGGTTTCCTGTATGACTTCTTCATCTTTACTGGTGGAGAGTCTCCTGTCAACTATCCGATTGAGAGAACCCAACGCGCGATGAAGAAGAGCCGTTCGAAGTGGAGGCGCCGTCTGCATATCGGAAAGCGAAAGCCGAAGAGCGTCGCTATGCCATGATCTGGCTGACCTCCAAGTGCGCGTCCTGAAGCGCTACACTGAGCCTATCATTTTATTGTAAATACTTCAATTGCCCCGGTGGTTATAATGCATGATCGGCCAACCCCTAGGCTTATCCACAAAGCCGATCCATTCAAGCGATTTCTTGGCTTTCTCGACCTTGTTTTGAAGTTCCTAGTGTACATAACGAGCATTCCCTTTTTGTGTGACAATGATTGTTCCTGGTCTAACCTCGAATAACATCACTCTATACTCTTACGGCTGTCTGAATCATCGTTCACAATTTACCAAAAGCCATAATTCAACATGGAAATAGACATCCCTGGTTGAATGCAAGTCATATCGGCAGGACCAACTTCCCTGATTGCCTCAAAGCTTCCCTCCAGCTACCTACATTCTTATTCTCATCCATAATCGACCAAATCTCCCGAATAGTCCTCCACTGCCGTGTAAAATTCCCCAACGCATACCCTTGCATGCGCTCCCACCATTCTACCCAAGGTTTACGATCAGAGGCTTCGCATGCCGCAATGAAAGCCGGCCAGGACATGGGAGCGGCACGTTTTTCTCCAGCAAGGTACTCATCTTTCAGATCCTCAGCCCGCTTGAGATTTTCCCAAATTGTTTCAACGTAGTTTTCCAGATTGACGGAGCGAGAGGGTTCGATCGTGCGATAGTAGAATATCGCTATTGCGCTGTGAAATGCTCGAGCCTGACAGTAGACTATCTCACGCATAGTCTGCTCTTTTGATCCCATCAGATGTAACGTCTCTGAGTCGATGTTCCAGGATAAGAGTCTGTCTTCTATTGCTGTGCATGTCTCTAGTAGAGGCAAGGGGATGTCTTGATCCTGGTAGAAAGACAAGCGCTCGGCGGCTTGGCAGGTCTTCTTCAAGAGATTTCCTAGAGTCGGGGTAATTCCGTACATGTACTCGATGCTCCAATCGTTGACGTCAAAATGAATGGACTTAAGGAGATCACTGTCTATTTTCGAATTTTTGGGTTCAAGATCGTATGTTGTTGTCCGAGTTAAGAGGCTTAAGAAATGGGAAATACTGTTGACTTGACGAGTGGGGCCGTCAATTAATTGACAATCGAGTTGGAGCTTTTGTAATTGACGACAGCCTTTCAGGTGGACTGGGAAATCGGAGTCTTCTCCAGTTATGGTCTGTCTTCTTGTTAGTATAGATGATCGGACAGGCCGGAAAACCCCCCGACCACTTACATCGATGGTGACTAAGGCAAGCATTGCTGTGATATAGACCATGTACTGTTCAGGTCTGGCGGGTGTGACTAACCCGATACTTGAATTGAGGGCCTGCAAAGCTTTTGCTCTGTGCTGGAGGCCGATTTTATGATATTTGGGCGAACCGTCTAAGAGGTTACGCAGATGAAATGCTGCGGCCGAGATCAAGCTATGAAAGAGTGATGAGAAGACACCAGAAGGGGCCTGTGGAATCTGAGCCATGATTGAGTCGGGACAACCCTGAAGCGCGAATGGGAAATACGTCGTTCGCCAAGGGTTTCTGTCATGGAAGACTGGCTGTAAAAGATCTGCAACATGAGTTTGGTAGTGGTGCAATAACAGAGATATGTTGGGATCTTCGACGAGAGGCATTGTCAGCTCGTGATATGGCGACGGGTCTAACGCACTGGATTCGTGTGTTGTCGCATGCGAGTTGATGTGACTGGGTGAATTTGAGACAGACAACGATGAATCCCAGCTGGGGAATATCGCCTCATCCAAAGCGGCATTTTGAATTATGAGGTCGTTCGAAAACAGGTCAGACAATATGTCTTCAAAAGCCTCTTGGCTTGGAAGGTTATGGTCGTCGGATATAGTGTTCGTATGTGTCACGATATCACATCCACTAATGCTTTCTTCTTCGGCTGTCATGCAGTCAACCTCCTGAGATAAAGCAGGGTCGGCTTGAAAGATGCCAAATGGACCCTTAGTGACGGTATGTAAGGGAGTCGAGACCGTGTCGATTACCGACAAGAGTCGATTGATCTCATCATCCCGAATGGTAGGCAGACACAGCCGATCTGCCCAGGAACATTAGAATTTCTATCACTTGAACGCGGGTCAAGATACCCACCAGATCTGATCTGCCTACGGCCCAGGCCCTGGATATCTTGCTTCTTGCCAGTAACCCAACACAGATTGACACCATAACCAGCACACTGCAAGCCAGATTTCTGGCAAACTCCACATCCATCCTCCTGTCGCTCGTCACATTTGACCTTTCGAGATCTACAAGTCCAGCACCTGCGAAGGTTAATCAATGTTCATAATTCGTTGTTTTTTAGCTGGAATATTGGAGAAAGAGCCTACCCAGTGAACGTTACTGACTTCGGCTTGCGCTTGCGGGGCCGCGTGGTGGACCTACGGACAGTTGGGTCCATTGAAGCGCTCATGATTTGGGCTCTTGCATTGGTCGATTTATTCAGTATGCCACGGTATTATTGGTTCTAACGCATTATCACTGGACTGAGAGTGTGTTTGCTGTGAGGATTGAGGCTTGACTTCGCCATAACAGTCTACTTATCATGCGGGGTCAAGTTAGTCATGCGACGACTGAAGCTAACTTATCTAAGCGGGTGGCCATTCTAGCTTTGAGCATACCTTCCAAGCTTTCTGCTGGGCATACCTTCTCACAATATCTCAGTTATAATCCGAAGACCCCAAGTTTATAATCTAATTCTATCATAAGCAATGGCTGCTGAAATATTGAGTTGTAAATTGTAATATATCGCATTTACAATCGTATGCAAGATGGCCACTCCTGTCGCTTACTTCCACGCTATCTCTGAACTTGGCACATAAGATAAGCGTAGTCAACCTGACCTTGGAGGTGGAATCTTGAGGATAAGCTGGAAGAAGAGGTGAAGTGGTTGATTTTAAGAAGCTCAGTTCGCAGTCCCAAAGGCAGTTAACTTAGATGGCCCAGAAATAACAATTTTCCCACTGATCCACATCAGAGGCATATCACCTGATGGCTAGACCAATTCCTTGATTACATAGGATGAAAACATAGATCCCTACCCCTTATCTTGATATACGGTGCTCGATAAGCGCTGGGTGGTCAGTAGTGTCAGGTCAAATACTCCAATCCATTCCCGAGGTCTGAAAGAGAAGGTGTCAGCGAGACCATCGATAAGATTCACCATCGGCTTTAAACCTCTCAATGGACGGCATTCGCCTTGCAAGACATTACATACAAATAAATAAAGAATGGAGGCTTTCTAAATTCGAATATACACCTACGCCAATATTTTCCATCTCACAACCAATTAATTATTCGCCACGATGCATCTCGCGATCCCGCCTTCTCCCAAACAAAGAAATACAAAGTCCTTCCAGCGAGTCGAGTACTCAGGAAAGTCTACCCAGAAGACGAAGAACCAGAATATCGCACTGCAGTCGGAACTGAGTGGCACCTCGCCCATCTGGTCACTTAAGCCTCTCTCATTTCTGAAGTCGGTGGCTTCCAAGCACAACTCTCGGAAACAGGCAACATGATGCCCTGTCTACTTCTCTTTTCCATATCTGTGGGTCACTCCCTTCCTGCTTCGAGCTATCTAGCATGTATTTATCATGTATCTCATATGTGTTGATTTAGCGGGGCGCATTCAACGACGCAAGACTAGTAATCAACACTAGCTTGTTATCTGAAGCATGCCCACGATGGCAAATTGTGGGGATAAGGCTACCTAAATTGAACATGAATCTATAATTTCGTCACCTATTGCTGTAATTAAGAACAAGTTAAATAAATACGGGCCCACATGGCCGATATTCTTGAGAGATGTAATGTTTTATTCACTCCTAGGCTATTCTACGCCTGTAGTGAAATTAATGTGGCATTCATGCTCCTGCGGTTGTGGTCAGTTGATTCAATACATCAATTCGGTGTCCGTAGACCTACCCTCACTCCCTGACATGTTTCATCGTAGAAAACCTCATAGCGGGCGGTTATCGCAGGTGATATTGAGTCGAAATCTCCGTGCGTAGTGGTTGTATATTTGTGGTAGACAGCAGCCACAAGGGTTGTCATTTCCGCCATGGCAAGACTAGAATCAATTAATAACCGAGACGAGGTAAGAGAGCGCTATGGCATCCAAGAGCATAAAAGACTTACTGCATCCCAATACACATTCTACCTCCACTGGAAAAGGCCCAGAACCACTTCTTCATATCAGCCGAAGCATCTAGCCATCGATTCGAGTTGAACTTCAGTGGGTCCTTGAAGACCTTCGGGTTGCGATGCAAAGAATAAGGAGACATGGAAACAACAGTTCTTGCCGGAATGACGTATCCATCAATTGTCGTGGTCAACGGGAGTGACCGCGGCTCCGATCCTGGTAACGGAGCGTACAACCGTAGCGTCTCTTTGATGACTGCATCTACATAGAGCAACTTGGCAGATATTTCTGTGCTTGGAATTCCATCTCCATTCAGGCATTCTTCGGGAATACTGCGAACTTCTTGGATGAGCTTGTCTTGAAGTTGCTTGTGGTCGGGCCGAGATAATGACCAAATGAGAAACATTAAAGTATCACTGGTTGTATCAATGCCAGCCAGGAGATGGTCCGCACACTCGGACGCAATGTCCATGTCATCAATCCCATTTTCTTTCTCCGACTGATGGTGTTTCCATATCTTGGCAATTAGGAGCGATTGGTCAATTTTCTCCTGTTCAGAAGCATTGGAATAGGCCAAGCATGCCTTCATCGCATGTAGTCGAATACCGGTATAAGTGGTAGGTTTCTGCATGGGATAGAATCGTTTTGCGATGTAGCCCATACTTCCTGTTCTTGCATATAACCATTCGGTAAAAGTTGGAAAATGGACCGAGAACCATGAAATCTTACGGCGAGAAATATCAATGATATCTCCAATGAGGGCGCGATCTTTCGCGGCTCCTTCCAAGCACGAGGTCTTACCGAATCTTCCATAGAGGAACTCTGTGATTGTATCCAAAGAGAAATAATGCAAGATAGAGAATATTTCGCAAGTTGAGTTCTCTTGTTCAAGAAGTTGTAAAAAAAGTTTGACCTTGCTCTCGACCATTGAAGCAGTAGTCCCTTTCAACATGGCGGACTTGGCATAGGCATGCGCGAACAGCTTTTTACGCTCTCCATGGGCCTTCACTGCGGAAAACGAAAACATGTTTTTGCGTCCATATACAGTGAACATATTATAGAAGTCTGTTCGCTCGAAACCACTCCCGGCTCCGTAAATAGTGCGCAGCGCAGAAAGGCTATTGAATGCCACCTCATTTGGACCAACACGAACAGCTGTGCCGTATTCTTCATGGAGAGCATGGATTTTGCAGGTGCGGGTGCCCTTATAGTCCTCATAGGCAAGACTCAGCCCTGTCAAGCCGAATAATTTTGGGCCTGGAATTTGAGCAAGCTGACCGAACAGCAAGTCAGCAAACAGCGAGTAAAGTAAAAGGCCTGCTATAAAAGTAGCGGCGATGGTCGGCAGAAGTGGCATTTCTGCCCAATGTGAATGCGATTTAGCACGGAGAGATGTCGCAAAGTCTTTGCAGAGCTGATTTCAAACCTTCAAATCAGAATAAAGGGGAAGGTGACTTGTTCTGGGTTATATAAAGCATAACACCGTGGCCGCCAAGTCAAGCTCAGGCAAGAATTCAAGAATTGTTCCACGGCAATCTCCTTGACGGCACTGGCAGGAATCAGCGAACTCTTTGCAGTGACAGATTTCCCCGTGTGTTTCGTTATAAGATAGGGAAACATGATGATTCTGTTAGATAATGAGAAAGTTGCCAATATCACCCGTGGTGAATGCGGAAACCGCCAGCGAGAATTAACTGCGGGGTCGGCTCTCTCATAACGATTTCTCGAGCTGTCGCGCGTACATATGCATAAACTCTTGCTCTCGCTTGGGAGAACTAGAAACGAGCAAGCAAATTTATCATGCGACCGTCGAAGCCCTCTTCCAAATCCACCATTTTGACACGCATCTCGATGCGTTGGGTGCCAGAGCCATCATTTGAAAGCACGGATACTCTTGCCCTGTCTGTCGGTGATTGGTACGTGGATTTGCGCGTTGATCGGCAATCTGGCGGCATTGATTGGGCGCTTGCGGGGCAGTGCCGACGGGCTTGTACCAGTTCACGTATGATTGATTGGCGTCTTCAATGGAGATGAAATACAACCACTGAATATGAGAGCAGGCCATATTATCTTCACTCATGATATCGATTCGCACCTTAACTTCAACGTGAGTGAGCCTTGTCCATTCACTGCTCTTCCGAATGGAGATGATATGGAGACGGGGACAATGCGTCGTTCGGATAGACAGGGCGCCCCGATGACTGACTACGAAGAGGTTTGGAGATATCTTCCCTTAAAGTTCGTACCAGAGAATTCGGGGGGCAATACTGCGTGGGTCTTAGAATCGGTGGATGGTTCTTTGGCCGAAAGCCAGAATCTTGTCATCAAACAATTCTTGGCAAAAGTTGGCAGATTCTATCTCGTCCAGCAACAGCAAAAGACTCGTGTGAGGACACTCTCCGATGACGGAAAGTGGACTGTGAAAATAACCGGCGGACCAGTGAGCGCGCGGCGAGAAGAATGGACTGGCGATTGCTGGGAAGAAATATATGTTTTAGGACCTCATGGGGGGTAAATTGCCGTCTATGGGCAAGGATCAGATTGGTAGTCAAAACTTGTGGACACTGGGAGAGAAAATTATGATTCAAGGCTCTGAATACGTTGTGCGGGAAGTAGAGTCACTGCTGACTCCGAGATCTAGAATCTGATAGCCTAGGTAGCCTCAAGGTTCTTGCGGAAGGATTCATCCATGGATAATTATGCGCAATTCGGAGTATAGCATCCGGGTTTGAACAGTGATGTTATAGGTAGTATTCCACCAGGATTATCATTTTTGATAATTTTCACCGAATTCAAAATTTCCCCTAAATTTAGCGAGACGAGCAAGTTTCATCTTGTAAGTTGGCCACTGGTTTCTGTCAAAATAAAGCTCTAGATAGCGAAGCGATCGGTCCGTTTTATCCCCACAGAGAATTCCATCGAGTTAAATGCAGTAGTAATATTTTTCATATCCTCTCATTGCAAATCGTATATTTCGTCATAATTTATCCGAATTTCCATACGAAACGGCGTGGTACTGCAAGCCAGATATTTCGAGTTCAGCTACAATTACCATCATCGGTATCAGAATCGGAATCGGAATACACCATTTTCGTGAATTGTTCATGTAATAGTATGCTTTTAATATGCTGGGAACTACTGAAAGATACTAAGAAGGGACAAAGATAAGAGAACAAAAGCTAAGGTATTGAAGTGGCCAGTGGTTGCCGGTGGACATGCGGGGAGCGTCACTCGAGAACCTTACCTGCCCCACAGGACAGGAAATATGGAAGGAGTCTGCGACGAAGGGCCTCGATCTACCTGGTGCTGTGCATACAATGCTTGTACTGTTAATTTGCTTGGCTATAAATGCAGAGGTGTAGTTCTTTAAATTCTAAGACTGGTCTCCGAAATTACAACCCTCAAAATGTCCTATTTTACCGCGTTGACTATATTCTCTCTCTTCTTTTCCACGGGGCTATCTCTCTGAATGTTGGCCCAGAATATAGCCATCCGATCGAGGGTGCGTTTCACGGATCTATTTTGCTCTCTTTTTTGAATTAAGACTCATGGTTAGCAGATCTTGATGTTGATCTTCCGTTTTCCCAACCCGTCACCTTCGCGCATCTCGAATGGCAGCGGTGTCTCGCCGCGTCCCACGATCGGGTACGCATAAATCTAACTTCAAGCTCGACAACTAATTGCTCACAATTTTATGGAAATGACAGCCGCTTGATATCGCCCTTCTAGGATTCCCATACGATACTTCAACGTCCTACCGTCCGGGAGCACGTTTTGGCCCGCGGGGCATTCGAGCTGGATCAGCAAGGGAAAAGAAGGGGCGTAGCTACAACACCGTATGGGGGGGTAGATCCATACGACCAAGGTCTCGAGATTGTAGGTATCCCTTTTTAAGGGAAGAAAAAAGAGAGAGAGAAAACCCACAACATGTTATTCACTCACTAATCTCTAACAGATTGACTGCGGAGATATCCCTATCACTCCCTTCGACGCTGCACATGCTTTCAAACAAATGGAACAAGGATACAGACAAGTCCTATACCACCCGACCTCTGAGCAAAACAAATGGGAGCATCCGCGCATAGTAAGCCTGGGCGGAGATCACTCAATTGTGCTGCCGATTTTGCGATCGTTGAAACAAGTATACGGACCTATTTCAGTAATCCATCTTGACTCCCACCTTGACACGTCAGTTCAACCCATCCCAGCATCAAGTACTCAAAAGGCAGCGTACTGAACTTGAGAAACAGATGGGATCCTTATGAGGGTTATACTGGAATCGCTTCCAACCAATCGGCCATCACACACGGAACCTTCTTTTGGCATGCTAGTCGAGAGGGTTGCATTAGCAAAGGAACCAGTGTTCATGGAGGATTGAGAACGAAGCTTTTTGTTAGTATTCTTCTTCAACTGTACTCTATGTAAACTGACAACTCTTCAATCTCTAGAGTCCCGGGATTACGAAATTGACCAGAATGTTGGATTCACAATTATCGAGGCCCAAGAAATCGATGAGATCGGCATGTCAGGAATTATCGAGAAGGTCCGGAACACAGTCAAAGATACACCCACGTATCTTTCTATCGATATTGATGGTGAGGCTCCAGTTTTCCAATCCTGGAATTGGCTAACTTATCTCCGTCAGTACTTGATCCAAGTATCGCCCCAGCGACCGGGACTCCGGAGTCTGGTGGCTGGACCACTCGCGAATTGAAGCGATTCATCAAGGGTCTTGAAGGTATCCATTTGGTTGGCGCGGATGTTGTGGAGGTCAGTCCGCCATATGATTCTGTTGCCGAGACAACCTCCGTGGCAGCGGCGGATTTGATTGTTGATATTTTGGCATCCATGGCCAAGTTGAATGAAGGCCCCAAGGTCAAGACGACAAAAGATGAGCTCTGAAAGAGACGTAATTTTCCAGCATTGAGCAAAAGATAATACCTGGTAAACTTTCACGCTTGAACAACATCATTTTCAGTCCTTTCTCTGTCCAATTCATCGTCATTTATAGTTTGGTCATAAATTCACTTCGACAAGGAAGTTTGAATAGATGTATTGAGCCCAAATTGGGCCGAATACATGTTACAGAACTCATACAATATGATAACTCTCTCTCACAGCTTGGCTTTGCTAGATATCCGTTCCTGTTTCGCAGCGTCTTTGAGGTTCCTTCGTAGAATCTTACCCGCGGCACTCTTTGGAATCTCATCCACGAATCTAATACCACCCCTCAGCCTCTTGTGTGAGCTCATTTTCGCGTCCATCCATGTCCGTATTGCATCGGCTGTAGTTGAAGATTTTTCGATGCCGTTTGGTACAACGATATAAGCGCGAGGGACCTCAGTATGTTCCTGGTCAACCCCAATGACAGCCACATCGTTGACACTTGGATGTGAAATCAATATCCCCTCAAGCTCTATTGATCCGTTAAAATGATTCTTCGAATGTTTGGTTGGATAGAGGACTGACCTGCTGGAGCAACCTGAAATCCCTTATACTTGATCAATTCTTTCACGCGATCAGTAATGTAGAAGTTTTCTTTATTATCGTGATATCCGACATCTCCAGTCTTGTAGTATCCATCAACTGTGAAGGAAATAGCGGTGCCCTCTTTATTCTTCCAGTACCCCTTGAAGATACTAGGCCCCTTGAGACATAGTTCCCCATTTTCCCCAGATGGCACTTCTGCACCCTCTGGCGATAGATATTTTGCCATAAGATTGGGCATCAGCTTCCCGACACTACCGACACTGCTATACCATTCATCCCAAGGCTGTGTATGCGTAATAGGGCTTGTCTCGCTCAGCCCATAAGCCTGATTGATTCGAATCTTGAGTCGGCTATGGACTGTATCCACTAGTTCGCGGGTGAGTGGTGCAGCTCCGGATGTTACCATGCGCAACGAGCTCAGGTCAAATTTGTCGACGATTGGATTGCTTGCGAGATGGACTAGTACAGGCGGTGCGACATAAGCGAAGGTGATCTGTGCATTCTGTACTGTCCGAAGAAAAGCTTCGAGGTCGAAACGTTCCATCGCGACCATCTCGATACCTCGGTAGAGCGGCTGATGAATGAGACAAGTGAGCCCTAAAAATGAGGTTAAATATCCGGCGAATCATTAAGTGTTTTTTTTTTTTGAAAAAACCTACCATAGATATGATAGAATGGCAAGATTCCGATCAGCTTATCGTCTTTCCAATTATAGCTTTTACCCACGGACGAAGCCACCATCAAGACATTTGCGACAATGTTCCGGTGACTCAACATGACCCCCTTTGGTAGGCCAGTAGTACCAGATGAGTAGACAAGAAATGCTAGGTCACGGTCAGGGTCCAGTATCTCCCGCGGCCTGTCGTCAAGGAGTGCTGATTTCGGTCTCGCTATCTGATCGAAATGTTTGAATCGACTCGATGGATCTCGCTCGTCGCCAAGAAGTATAATTCTCTGAGGCGAAATACCCAATTTCTCGGCCGCCGCAGTGACAACTGGTAGAAGGGATTTGAATGTCGCGATGGCTTTAGTGCCATTGTCCCTGAGCTGGAAAGCCAGCTCGTCGACTGAATAGCTGGGGTTGGCAGGCGACACAATGCCACCAGCGAAAAAAGTACCATAGATAATGACGGGAATATCAATACTGTTCGGTACGAAAAGAGTCATGATCTCGCCTTTTTGCCATTCCCATTCTGACCGCAACCCTTGTCCGAAGGCAATTGCGGCATTGTGGAATTCAGAGTAAGAATAAAAGCGACTTGTGATGGCATCACGATAGATGACTGGTCATTTTTTTTTAGAATTAGTCAGAGATCATTGAAGAAATTCCAGTTAACTCACCCTGGTCAGAGGGGAATTTTTCCTCTCGCTCTTTTTCAAACATCAATCCCCACAGGTCAACCTCGGGGATCTTAACGTCAGGATAGATCGCAGAAAATGGCATCTTTGGGGCTTTTATGAATAATCGCTCGAAATCACAATATCTTTCTGCCGTATTTTGCCCAAGATCGATGTTCTCAACTACCGCCCAGATGCATGCAGTGATTGAATTGACATTGTCGCGCTGGCCGTGCACATCCCGTGGGCTTCCCCGCATTCCTCGGTCCCCGGGTTTCCCTTGTGACCTCACGTTATCAGTGCCCGAGAAATTTCATAATTAGTAAACAAAATCCATTATTGAACGTTGGAAGAAGCCAGTCTTGAACCACAAGGCGGATGGCGCTCGCTCTTAGAGATGGCATTTTGATAGAGGCCTTTTCTCTCTTGTTTCTCTTTTTTTTCAAAATCAACGAAGGTGCTGGAGTCCTGCCAGAGCCTTTTTCAGCCGAAGAAAGAGCATTCCAACACTCGTGCACTTCGGTAACGAGAAGCTTGAAGTGGTGCTTGAAAAGGGCAGCCACACGACATCCGTTTGAGTACGAGTACCATCCGCCTGGGAAGTGCTCCACAGAGAGCTACTAGCATAGAGCTACCAGTACATATTTATTATTCGACCAATGCGACTCGGAGTTAACACATCATGATCTTACATCTTTATTTGCCTGCCCTATGGCCACCTATTGTGCAAAACTACCGGTTTTGGATAGCACCCCGAGAGGACTCAATGCTAGTTCAGCATTAAAAGTTTTTAGCCTATGTCTAATTTGCTGTACCTATGGCATCAACAGGGTAAGCGTTCGGATAGACACCCGGAAGAAGTAGTGACACCGACCGTTTAGATGTCATCGCGCGACTATAATGAATATGTCGTGACGAGCCAAGAATATTGTCCGAGCAAGTTTCGATTTAGAATTGCCATTTATAAATAACTATTCGCCCTTCTCTCGATAATTTAACAGAGAAAGTGGTACAATCCAACCGGTTCGCATTCATTTCCTTGCAATGGCAACCGATACAAAAAGCGCGAAGTCCCCACCGTTAAATAAAACATATGGGGACTCTACAATCGTGGTGGACTCCGTTAACGAGGAATCACAGACTTCTATCAATAATGCGAATCCCCGACGCTCTTTCCGCTCCTTCATATGGGATACAGATACCCATCTCAAGTCGCCCGCTGAACGACGGTTTCTTCTGAAACTCGATTCCGCAATTCTCAGTGTAGGTTGTTTGGGGTTTTTTATGAAGTACCTAGACCAAGGTAATATGGCCAACGCGTATGTGTCAGGAATGCAAGAGTCGCTTTCCATGTACGGAAATGAGTATACTTATGCAGGTACTGCGTACACTGTTGCATATGCTGTCATGCAAGTCCCAAGTACTTTGATCGTCCAGAAAGTGAGACCCAGCATTTGGCTCCCGACTATGGAAATTGGATGGGCTATCTTTACATTTGCTCAAGCGGGGTTGCAGAATGTCGGTGAATTGTATGCTTTCCGGTTCTTGATTGGTCTCTTCGAAAGTTCGTTTTTTCCTGTTCTGCTTTACGTGCTAGGAAGCTGGTACACGAAAACGGAACTGGCAAAGCGAGTGGCACTCTTTCATATGACAGCTCCACTAGGCACGGCATTTGGTGGATACCTTCAAGCGGCTGTTTATAAGAACCTGGATGGAGCGCATGGGCTTGCGGGATGGCGATGGCTCTATATCATTTGTGGGGTAAGCAACTCACCGATTCAACGTTTTGTTATATTCATTCACAAAATTAGAGACAAAAGTTCACCCAGTGAATGCTAACTATGCACATGTCTAGTGTATGACTGTTCCTGTTGGGATTGCCACGTTCTTTCTGCTTCCCGACACTCCATATACCACTCGCGTCTGGTATCTATCCAAGAGTGAACGTGACCTGGCTGAAGAGAGAGTTTTGAAAGCAGGAAAGGCAAAACCGGTGAAAATAACCCTCGCGACATTCAAGAAAATCTTGAGCTCCTGGAAGTGGTATGTTTTCGTCATAGGATATGTTGTAAGTTACTACCCGTATTCGGTGTTGACGCATTCAATGGTGACGCCAGTCTAACATTTGAAAATAGCTCTACGGCGAGTCGTGTGGTGGCAGCTCATACTTCGCTATCTGGCTGAAGTCTGAGAGATTTTCTGTGGTTGATCGTAACCTTATTCCAACGGGCACTTCTTTGATTTCCGGGGCTTGTGTTGTAATTTGGGGGTTCCTCTCAGATTACACCGGAAGCAGATTTGCTTGGGTGCTTATACCTTTGGTAAGTCGAACATGAAGATGTGCTAGATATTGTTTTGCAAATGCTTATGATGAAATAACAGATACTCACGCTCCTTCCTAATGGAATTCTCGCCGTCTGGCCGTCAAGCCTGGCTCTGAAAGAATTCGCGTTCTTAACTGTCAACATACACCTTATGACAGCTGTGTTGTGTGTTTTTTTTTATCTTTTTGGTAATATCCAAGAGTACGGCTAACTAATTCCTCTGATCGATTACAGTTATTCATGGGCTAATGAGGTCTGTGCTGATGACAACGAGGAACGGGCCGTGGTAATTAGCAGCATGAATGGTTTTCAGTATGCAGTTGCTGCCTGGCTACCCATCGTGATCTTCCCTCAAACTATGGCACCGACATTTAGTGAGTGAGATTTTGAATACGCTAGATCGGCAATATAACTAATATGTGTGGTTCAGGATATGGCTTTCCGGCAACATTCGGCTTGGTTATTGCAGCGATTATCGCCGTTGTTGTGATTCAGGTGTTTATTTTGCGAGACAAGCGAAAGGACAGAGAAACCCCGAACACAATCCAAGTGACAAATTAAAGTCGGCTCATTGGGGCAGCTCATCATACTGAATCAAAGAGGCTTCAATATTCTTAAAGCCTGGAAATCGATATCAAATTTGAATATCTTAAAGTAGAAGTTGACACTCCGAGGATCACAATATTTAGACAGTAGAGACTGTTAAAAGCGCAATGGGAAGCCCTCAGGCTTTCCAAGGTTATGTTGATGGGTAATCATGCTACTATGTGGTAGGGCCTTTTAGAGACATCCGGCCTGAAATTGACACGGTTTATGGCTTGAAGAAGTGAACCAACAATCTCGGCCCATGATTCTGCGATTTGACCTGTCCTCGGTATCGTATATCGCACCTGGGCATAAAAAGGTTAAGTATATGGATCTATACCTCAGTTACTACGCCTTCTCAATCTTCTTCCAAAACTCCTCGATATGCCCAGCAACCTCCAGCACCCTTTCTCTCACCACTCCATGTCCAACCTGGGGCACAACAGCAACATTTTCCATCCCAACCTCCTTCAAGCGCTGCACGCTACATAAGTCATCCAGCTCACCAAGTACACAGAAGTTTTTAACACCAGCTTTGGAGGCCGTGGCAAACTCGGCATGTTTATCGAAAACACCACCATCTCTAACTATCCCAACCACACTCGCCGCATGCCCCTTGTGGTTTTTCATTTGCCAATCACGAACAGCCTCCGCCACGATCTCCCCTCTTTCAACCCTCTCCTTCCAATCAGAAGGAACAACTAACTGACCACCCTCCAAGAACTCGAAAACCCACTCTCTAGACCGATCCTCCAACCCCTCACCACCCCGCATGTAGCCTCTTTCAACCTCGCTCAACTCCGAGCTCCGCAGCAGACCGGCGGGTGCGACAAGGACCATAGACGCAACAGAGCCAGGCTCAAGCGCAGCATAGCTCGCAACAGTCGATCCACCAAATGAATAGCCAATAAAATGGGCATCGTCCCAGCGAAGCGTCAACATCAAGCCATCAATCAACTGATGAAAGCGATCGGCATCATGAGCAATAATAGGCGTTGCGGAGAGTCCGTGGCCCCATAAATCAACAAGAACACAATGAGCATAAGGGAAGCGGGATTTCAAGGCGCTGGCCAAGGGCTGCATGCCAATCGCGGGTGTCTGGACACCATGTACGAATACTACCCGCGAGATTGGCTTCTTGATGTTTGCCGGAGCCGACGACGAGGGGGAAAGCGAGTAATAGGCAGCTTTCCCATACATGGTGGGCATGAATTGTGCTTCTGGGAGCACATTTCCGAATTGTTTGACGAAGGCGGCTTCGGATGGTGCTTGGATCGGGCTTTCGCTGCCGTACTCTGTCCGCGTCCATGGACGGGGAAGCACGGTTGAATTGTCAGGCATGGCGTTGGGTGAGGTAGAATAGGATTCTAGGATGGAGCAGTCGGCCAGGTGATTGCGTTATTTGAAGGTATGAAGAAGAGGAAGAGGACAAGAATTTTGGACAGGAAATTCAGGGGATTAGTGTGCGAGTTCCTGTTCCTGTTTTCTTATAAATCAACCCTAAACTATGTATATCATCCCGTTCATCCCCACTCAGCGTTCAGAGTTAATCTTTGGCACAGCTCCACCGCTTTTCGGGCACCCTAATGCTACTATTCTGCCAGCTTCCTTTCGCTAGTCTCGCTAACCTCGCTTGCCTCGTTATTCTCGCTATTCTCACACTCACACTACTAGTAGTGACTGCCTTACCACCACTAAAGTCTGTGGCAGACACATTTCTTAGGCTATTTCATATTCAATCGATCAAATTTATCAGTCTATGTTCTTTATCTATCGCCAAAGGTCTCTATATACAGTGGCGACACAGTTATATACAATCTTCCAAGCCCCCATCTCACAGCTTCGCCTTGCCGCTCTCGATGGATGACCAGCTATTGTCCTCAAGCTTCTCGTAATTAGTTCCGTTGAGCCAGTATAGACTGTCCCGGCAGAGTCCTGGTTTGGGGTTCCACCCCTTCTTCAGCAGATCACCTTTAGCCTGCTTGAAAGTAACACCGGTTGAAACCCTGAAAAAAAGTGCCATGTTAGCAAAATGGTTTCGCTCATTCGATAATTTAAAACTTACTTTTCAATGAATCGCACAAGACGCGGAAATGCATATGATGGCACACCACGCTTCTTCAGCTCAGGGTATAATTTCGAAGCGAGCTCGGCTTCAAAGGCAGGGGAATGTTCCTCAAGTGTGATCCCTGCAGCGCCAGCCTGACCATCGTATCTAGAAACGATTATTAGATATCAGAAACCCAAACCCCCAAGGATTCATGACATACCCAGCAAGTTTGACGCCGTACACAACAGCATCGTGCACGCCCTCAATACGACAAATATGGTCACGAATCTCTCCCGCGCTAACATTCTCACCCTTCCAGCGGAAAGTATCACCAACACGGTCCTGGAATCTGACCCATCCAGACCGATCCTGCACCACTAGATCACCCGTCCGCTGGAAAAGATCACCCTTTTGAAAAACATCCCGAAGAAGCTTCCCTTCAGTAGCATCTTGATTATGCAAGTATTCCGTCAACAAGTCACGATCACGCACACGACCAATAGCCTCACCCTCCTCATCCAGACCAGCCCTCACGCAGAAACCAGTCTCGGGATCGCGGAACGGCATCTCCGTATCATTATCATACTTAACAATGAACGTATCATCTTCCAAGAACCGACGAATGGGACCGGAAAATCCCACCTTTCCAGCGCCCCATACGCCAGGACCATGATTGTCGAATTTGGCCAATCCTTCCGTTGAGCGATAGAATTCGCGAATCTCATGCACGCCGAACCGACTCTTGAATTTCTCCCAAATCTCGCCTCGTAGTCCGTTGCCGGCTGCTGCGATGCAGTTGTGGTCGCGATCATAGGGGGAGGGGGAGTGCCGAGGAGGTATCGGCACAGTTCACCGATGTACAGGATACGAGTGGCTCCGGAGTCATGGACATCTTTCCAGAACTGCGAGGCGGAGAATTTGCGTCTTAGACAGGAGGGTTCCGGCATTTCCTACCGAGTAACATAGGCCGGTGAAGTAGGCTGTGCCGTGGAATAGCGGTAGAGCTGAGTATGTGCGAAGCGGGTAGTATTTGGAAGCATCGTTGACGTCGGCGGAGAGGGGGTTGGAGGTGATTAGAGCCATCATGTTTCGGACAGCGCAAGCCTTGGGCTTGCCTGTTGTTCCGGATGTGTAGATCAAAGCTGTGAGATCCTTCGGTGTGCGCTTAGCTGGTGCTAGTCCGGCTGGTGAGAATTGTTGCAATTCGGCTTGCGTGATAAGTTCCACATCACCACAGGAGACTCCCTCGAAGGAGGAGAAATGAAATGATAAGTGTGGTAGATCAGCGCAAACGTGTTGCGCGATATCTGGGGTCGAGATAATCGACGTCGACCCAGAGACGTCGAGACAGTGGATGAATGTGTCGTCTGGGACTATGTTAGTCTGTTTCAGGGAGCTAGTGGTTAAGATACGTACCTCGCAGATTGGTGTTGATCATGGCCGCAACTGCACCAAGTTTGGACAGTGCATAGAGGGTCACGACCATCTCAGGCGAATTTGTCGTGAAAACTCCCACCATATCGCCATTCTTCACATCGCGTGCGTGTAGCAAGGCAGCGAATCGATCAACCACTAAAGAGGAATCAGCTTCTTGTGTCCATGGAAATGAAAGGGCCCAAATCAACACTTACGCTCTTTTAATTGGTTGTATGACCAGGTCTTGTGTTCAAACCAGAGCGCATCTGCAGTTCCCTGGCCTTCGACCTCAACGACTCGTTGGAGCATCTTGTAGATAGTTTGAGATTCGCCCAGCTTGCCAATACGCTCACCGAGACGTTGCCCAAAGGCACGGTCATTCTTCAAAACCGTCAAGTCAGTACCGATCGAGAGCTTTGCATTCAGGTAGGCGCCGGCGGCAAGGGAAAAGGCGGTTCCCATCGCCACGGCGGGCGCGCCAACTTCCGAGAGAATGTCCATTGTGAGAAGCTGCCTAGGGTTGGTAAGGGTATGTATCGTATTGTTCTATCGTCAATTTTTCAGCTCTCCTTTAGCTGAGAAAAAGAGCAAGCCTCAAGGATTGTAATTGAGTGGCTTGTAGGTGGTCGTTCAATTGTTCAAATAGGGAGAGATCTGGGGAACTTGAATTAAAAGAAACCCAGGGTGGAATCCAGACGGAAGCTGGGCTACAGCGATCTGCCGTTCCTAGCAAGGTAACTACCTTGCTTTAGCTCGTCACTAGCAGAGTCCGAGGTGGAGAGATCGTAAGCAAAGTCCGTATCCTTATTCGTCTTCCCCGCAGGACTGTCGACGGGGTTTACCCCGGGTTTTGGCGGTTGGCGGATGGCGGATCAGTGACAGCAACTTTGGTCAATTAAGATATTCAATATTCAATATGAATACTACCATCAAATATTCAGGATTCAAGTTCTCATACTCCGAGAAAACACAGCTTAACATTGAATTTAATTCAACAATTCACCTCAACAATCAATTGCCGACATCGGTCACCCTAAGCAACCAAACCCGCGTATCAATACTGCATATCAATACACCTCGGCCGTAATATTACCAGATATAGGCCAATCATCCACCCTAAATCCGGGCCGAGGATTAAACTGTGACGGTATGATACACACTTGCAGCATCGGAGTCGGCACTTCTCTTCGGCTTCCCACGATGTTTCACGATGTTCCCAATGTTCAAATGCTCCCAGTTCGGCCCAGCTGATTTCGGTCCGAAATATGTGGACTTCACAGGTCAAATGAGCCGCGGTCCATTTGCCCCGCGTTTCTGAATTTCTGCGACCCCGGACAATATTAAGACCTGTCCTAGTCTCCTCAAAAAAAAGAATAGCTTCCGTCCCTCCCACTCTCCACTTCTCCAACTCTCTCATCACACCACATCATGTCTTCACCACAACAACGACTGTCCTCTGTCGCAAACCAGCTGTCTCCCCCGGGACATCTGCTGCGAAGCAACGCATTTTGGCTAAGAATGCCGATGACGTGGTATGTATTATTATGGATTTCCCGCCACAAATAACGTCTTGTGATCGTCGGTGAATTAATATTAATCGCTTCTCATACAGGTGATCACCTATCTCGCCCGAACTCCGCTCACAAAAGCTCGCAAGGGTGGATTGAAGGATACCACCGTTGATAACTTGCTGATCTCGCTGCTCACAGTAAGTTCGGATGCAATGGGGAAGCTACTTTCATTTATTCTAATACTTCATAAAATAGACCGTACGCGAAAAGTCCAACGTTGACCCCAACCTCATCGAAGATGTCTGCGTGGGCAACTGCCTCGCCCCCGGCGCCGCATACCTCGCCCGTTCCGCCGTGCTGGCAGCTGGATATCCCGCGACCGCTGCCACCTCCGTGACCAACCGCTTCTGCTCCTCGGGCCTGCTGGCCATCCAGAACATCGCCAACCAGATCACCTCCGGCTCTATCGATGTGGGTATCGCCGTCGGCGCAGAGAGCATGAGCACCAATTCCGACGGTGGTTCTCCCGAAATGGCCGAGCGCATCAACAAGCACCCGCTCGCATCGCAGAACTACCAACCCATGGGTGGACCTCGGAGAACGTGGCGGGAGACTTCAACATCTCGCGCGAGCAACACGATCAGTTCGCGGCCAAGAGCTATCAAAAGGCCGAGCACGCGCAGAAAGCGGGCTGGTTCAATGACGAGATCATTCCCATTACGACTCAGATCAAAGATCCCAAGACGGGCGAGGTCAAGGATGTAGTTGTGGATCGGGATGATGGTATTCGCTACGGCACGACCGCCGAGAGCCTCGGCAAGATTCGCGCTGCTTTCCCTCAGTGGAAGCCCAGCGCGACGACTGGCGGCAATGCCAGTCAAATCACCGATGGTGCTGCGGCTCTGGTCCTGATGAAGCGCTCCAAGGCGCAGCAGCTGGGTCTGCCCATTATTGGCAAGTTCTGCGGTGCCACTGTTGCGGGCCTGGAGCCGCGCATCATGGGCATCGGTCCCTCTATTGCCATTCCCAAGATTCTGGGCAAGTTTGGCCTGAACAAGGATGAGATTGATATCTTTGAGATCAATGAGGCTTTCGCCTCGATGGTATGTGCTCGTCTATTCTAGGTTAAGATCATCGCGGTCTTTCTAACTGTGTTGCAGGGTGTTTATTGTGTTGGCAAATTGGGTCTGGACGAGTCCAAGGTGAACCCGCGTGGAGGTGCCATGTAAGCGAACCTGAACCCCTATTCCATGGACAATGGCACTGTCACGGGAAACTAAACTAATTCTTTCCAGTGCTTTCGGTCATCCTCTCGGTGCAACCGGCGCCCGGCAGGTCGTCACTGCGCTGGCCGAGTTGCGTCGCCAGGACAAGCGTGTCGCGGTGACATCGATGTGTGTTGGAACCGTAAGTGAAAGCAAAGACATTGTCCCCACCAACTCCGGATTTAGACTAACCGATCTTTTTGCCCCAGGGTATGGGAATGGCCGGTATCTTCGTCTCCGAGCATTAGGTTTCGGAGCCGAACATCACCTGTTTGATTGTATTGTATATACCATTGCTCACAAAGAACTTGAACATGATTATTTGGAATGCATTTGAGATCGAGAGGTTATTCATCGAATTTCTTTTCTACTAGTATTGGTAGTTGACATGACGTCGACTCCACCTTCATTCGCTACGGAATGTACTCGTAGGTATAGCTGAATTAAAGTAGAAAGATCGCCCCCGGGCCGTTCTATTGCATATCTACTTACTACTACTCGCCTACTCCTACTCGGTACTATGCAGTACTAGAAACCTTAAACAAAGAATAAACCCTTTGTTCAATACTACTACGGAGTACTTCGAGCGATTCCCGTTGGAAAAATTGAGTTTTTGTTCGTTTTCGTCGCCACAATGCCTGAAATATGAGGTGTCCAATGTATCCCAAGGTGTCCAGCCCAAATCGACTCGATCGTCGTCCAACAGCGCCGATCCCCGCTAGCGACGTGCACACACATCATTTATGTTCTATTTACAGCCGGAATACAGAAATTACCCCTTGAACAGTTCACAAGTTGGCCTAGAGCAAGACATTAATTTCCCCATTTCTCTCCTCCCTCCCCTCCCCCTGCATCAATCAGGATCGGACTGCTCCGTGCCGAGACTCCGCCTCCGGGACGACCGGGCGATTGGGTATGGCAAAAGGCGAACTTGCAAACCCCAAGACCCTACCAAACTCCCCCAGGCCAGGGTTCATTGTTGGATTTAGGGGTCATTCCACGGTGCAGACATCATCGGATCGTTCCAATGATGGCATTTCATTATGACAGAAAAATGGGACTGGAGCCAGGAAGGAGAAGACATCCGGGGGACCGGCAAATGGGGCAAGCCACAGACATAAGATGCGTCGTCTGCAGGCACCGACATGTGGATTTGGATCCACTTTCTGTTCTCTGCCCAGTTTAGGAGAGGGCAAAGAAGAAGGAGAGACAAGACCATTGGCACATCGATGTATTTTTGGCATCTAGCCTTGATGGATGGCCAATCGGGAGAGACAAAAGACTTCAACAAGCAAACGTGTCGTGCTCCACTGTGGTTCCACCCGGTGGCGGCGTTCTAGACTTTCCATCCTTTCCATCATTTTCCTTTGGCATTGGCATTTGCTGTGTGCTGTGTGCTGCTGGTTGCAGGTGGCTAGGCCCTGTTCTGCTTTCGCTATTTCTCCATTCTTTTTCCCCGTTTTCATCTTCTCTCTTTTCTTTCTTCTCTTCTCTTCTCTCTTACATCTTCAAAATTATCATCAACCTCGAGGAATTCTTTCTTTTATTCCTCTTTCTTTCACGTCTCTCTTTATCTTCAGATCTACTCTGATTTCTTTCCTATATACTATCTCTCTCACATCACATATAGACATTCGCTTGCCACTTTCATAATGCAGATGATTCAACTTCTTGCCCTCGCCCTCTCCGTGGCGTCGGTCGATGCCGCCTCCAAGGGCTTCAACTACGGTGCCACCAAGGCCGATGGCAGCAGCAAGTATCAGGCCGACTTCCAGAAGGATTTCGCCGCCGCCAAGGTCCTCGTCGGTCAGGACGGCTTCACCAGTGCCCGCCTCTACACCATGATCCAGGGTGGTACCACCAACACCCCCATTGAGGCTATCCCCGCCGCCATTGCGGAGAAGACCGAGTTGCTTCTTGGTCTCTGGGTCTCCGGAGGCAACATGGAGAACGAGATCACCGCTCTCAAGGCCGCCATCAGCCAGTACGGTGAAGACTTCGCCAAGCTGGTCGTCGGTATCTCCGTCGGTTCGGAGGATATGTACCGTAACTCGGTCACTGGCTCCAAGTCCAACGCCGGCCCCGGTGTCGAGCCCGAGGTGCTCGTCTCTTACATCAAGGAGGTTCGCTCCACCATCGCCGGCACCGGCCTAAGCGACGTTACCCTCGGTCACGTCGACACCTGGGATTCCTGGACCAACTCCTCCAACTCCGATGTCGTCAACCACCTCGACTGGCTTGGTTTCGACGGATACCCTTACTACCAGCTCACCATGGAGAACGGTATCGAGAACGCCAAGGCCCTTTTCGACGACTCCGTTGAGAAGACCAAGTCTGTCGCTAACGGCAAGGAGGTCTGGATTACTGAGACTGGTTGGCCCGTTAGCGGTCCCCAGGAGGGCGATGCTACTGCCTCTGCTGAAAATGCTCAGAAGTACTGGGACGAGGTTGGCTGCCCTCTCTTCGGTAACACCAACACCTGGTGGTACATGCTCGAGGATGAGGGTGCTAGCCCCAGCTTCGGCGTTGTCAAGGGCGACTTGAGCACTCCTCAATTCGACCTGTCCTGTAACTCCACCTCCTCCAGCACTACCTCCAGCTCCGCCGCTGGCTCTTCCTCCACTGGTCTCTCCAACAAGGGCTCCACCAGCTCTGGCTCTGGTTCTAACTCTGGCTCCGGCTCTGGTTCTTCCGGCTCTGGTGCCTCCAGCTCCGGCTCCTCCAGCGCCGACTCCTCCAGCTCCTCCGGTGCCTCTGGATCTTCTAGCTCCGGCTCCGGCGCCAGCTCTGGCTCTGGCTCTTCCTCTACTCCTGCCGTGAGCTCCAAGCCTACCTCCGTCCCCGGCCGTAGCGGCTCCCACTCCTCCAGCTTCGCCTCTGCCAGCCGCACCTCCACCCCTCTGGCCTCCGCCACTGGCTCCGGCTCTTCCAGCTCTGGCTCTAGCTCCGGTTCCGGCTCTGGCTCCAGCTCTGGCTCCGGTACCTCCAGCTCTGGCTCTGGTTCTTCCAGCTCCGGCTCCAGCTCTGGCTCTGCTGCCTCCGCCTCCTCCACCTTCAACGCTGCTGCCCGCACTGGTTCCGGCTCTACCTTCGGTGCTATCGTCGCCGCTGCCGTTCTCGCCATTGCTGTCTAAAAATCTCTCTTCTGGTGTTGAGGAGTGATGGATTAAATTGGGATTGGATTCGGGATGTTAAGATTAGATTGTGTTGGAATTCAATTCGTGCTTCCGGAGGCGGTTGGATTGTTGTCTTCATGTGAATATTTATCTTCTCACATTCGTTTAGCCTGTATATCTTTTAAAGAAATGAATTTCACTTCGGATAATTTTATTCCTTTTTGTCCTGGCATATCTGCGTAGATATTTATGGATTCCTGCTAGTGGCTTTTTCCAAGATTTGGAAGTATTATATAAACCGTGGACCTTTAAATTCCTTCCAAGCCCTGAGGTCGCGATGTTACTGGTACAGCCCAGGTTAGTATACTTCAAGTTAGATAAAACTTAGATCCACTATACTAATAGTTGATAATAAATTTTTGGTATATAATGACTGCTGTGAATCTGGAAAGTCGCAATTTGATTGACAAACCAAGCTGAAACGACATAAGCTACTAGTAGGATAATCGAGGTTGTTAATATCCCCCGGTTAGCTATTTCGTCTTCTATTTCCCGGGATGTTTCACGTCCCATTTATAATAAACCACTGGTATAGGTGAAGGGGAAAAGGTACCCCAGACAGAAGTGCGTTGAGCTTTCAGGGAAGATGGAGGCTATTCTTAAGGATGAGGCCGACTCAACTGCTTAAATCTTGGCTATTATCCACTACTATGTATTCGGGTGTTCAATATTCTAATGCATCGATGGTTCAAATAATTATCTGGTCTGTTTTATTTGGATAGATTCGCTTTGTTCCAAAAAAACGTTGCCTGTAAATGAAGCTTTTAGTCCTGTCTTCTCCCACAACTCCCGCCTTATACTTCGTAAAGGGTCAAAGATGTGGGGTAGTCACTATCACCACCACACGCCTCGTTATAACCCACAGTCGACTCAAGCCTTTCCTTGACGAAATCATGGAAATTATCTTTCGAACAACTGCCACCTGGTCCATCTCGGCAATCCACCAACGGCTGAGGGCCGGCATTATTCAAGATTCGATAGTAATCCCCCTCATCGTATCCATAGCTCTCGCACGACATCTTCTCAATGGCAATATTTGTCAAAAATGGGAGTATCTCACTACTCTTCCAGGCGCGATTGTAGTTGATTCTATCCTCCGGCATAGTTCCATTCACATTATTCGCACCGCTGTAGGCACTATTATTGTAAAGCCCCAACGCAGTAAGGACCATGGGCGGGACTTCACGGTGAGTAAACGAGACGTATAGCTCCTGTGGCAGGGACTCATCACGTAACGCCGCGATACTGGCATTCACCCAGGGCAAGCCGAGAGTCGAAGATAACTCCCGACCGTAACCAGTGTTGTGGAAGTACATCAAGTCGTTTGCGTATTCGTATCCCAACCATTCATCCGGCGAGAAGAGTTTCAAGGAGCAGAATGGTGAAGACCCCCGGATAACAGTTTCGTAGCCGCAAAGCTCAAACATGCCGGTAATATCATTTTGCGTAAAGTTGAATGAAGGTGCTTCCGCGTTCAAGCGAGCAATTATTGGCTTTGTGTACACTTTGCCGAAGGCCTGTCTGTTGGTTAATATATGCCGCCAGTGATTGTCATGCCAAGGTAGCAGCAGAGCAGTAGATCTATCTAGTACATACCGAGGATTGATCAGAACCGTATGAGGAGCTATAAGCCGAGCAACCCTTATACGGCGTCAAAGAATCCGCGCCCGCCTTTTCGCTTTCCGCAACTTGAGTCAAATTGATCGATTTCGTGTGGTTATCCGTGAACCCCGTAATGAAGCCCTCTGCGCTCTTCACAGTTCTTTCCGCAGTCGACGACCAGACTCTCGCGGGTGCTGTGAGATGCGCATATCTCTTGTGAAGTGTCGTTCCTAGCGACCGCGCTTCTTGGAGTCCAAATTTCGTAAGTTTTTCCAGATGGTGCTCTTCGGCAGGTGCCGTCCAATTAGACAGGAATGCAAGGGCCTTAGTTGACTGCCATTGGTGCTGCGATGTGTTTTGCAGCTTTTTCACAAACGGTTCAATGTAAGTCTCGTATTCGAAATCATTTGGGTAGATCGCCGCGTGGCGCACAAGATATGACGCCCGAGTGACATTACAACCCTGAGGTGTTGATGGTTGGAGTGGTGGGTTATGAGGAGTGAAGTAAGGCGCAGTTCCTGCTGAGTGATCTAGGGGGTTGAAGTGATAAGATGAAGATAGGACAGGTGCGGCAAGTAGTACTGGCAGTGCCAGGAAATTTGGGAGGTACATCTTTCGCTGTTATCCAAGAGTGCTGCTACCCTAGTACGGAGAGGATTTTGGCTTGATAGGGCTAACTGTTTTATACTAGCATTTATTTTAAAATGATCTTCATCTTTCCAAGGATTTCAAGAAGGCCCACGTTAAACCTTGGAACCTAATTGCTATGTCATTTCTTTTGTCATGGTTGCTGAGTACATAAACAGGGAAACAGGGTTAAGGCGCGTTGACGTAGGTAAAGTGGAGTGAGTGCCAAGAGGATCAACAGCATCCGGCCTGAGGTTGTCAATATTAGTGTGCTTGCCCATATCAACTTGAAGAAAATGTATTGCAGTAATTCGTACCTGTTACTAGTTAGTATCTGCCAGTACCCTATCAAGCATAGAGCTTGTCGTTTAAATACTAGAAACCATGGAAATATTTCGACCTGGTCATAAGTACTAGTAGCCAGCCATAAGGAGTGATATTGAATCTTCTAAGTTGAAAGAAGTCCATTGGCAAAAACATAAACATCATATCATCATACTGATTCAGATCCTTCCATCCTCCACCCTCGGACCTTGATCTTCATGCCTAATCTCATCCCCGACCATCACCAATTTCAATCTCGACACACCGACGTGACCTCAAAGGCAGAACTCCTACAGGCTCAACTCGTCAGACTTTACTAGTACTAGTACGAGGAGGGGGGTATGGGTAAGCAGAGCATAGGCATCCACATGAGGCCAATATGCCTTGGCCATTCAGCGCAAGCTTGCCCATCCGCGACGGCAAGGATAAAGGCGTTTCGGCGAGGTGGGAATCAAATCCTCACATCAACCATATCTCGACTCTGTCAATGCAGGATCGTTGCATCTGAGCCAAATTGAGTCGTTGCACGAACAAATTAGTTGTGGCAGATTGGTCTTCTTCAAGTTCTTTGTTTGCTGGGTGTGGCTCTTTTTATCCTGGTAGATAAAATGTAATGCCTTTTGTAGAGAGGAGGAAATGTGTAAGGCTGAGTCCATGTGAAAAGTGAACGTTGGTACCAAACACACATTACCAGTTGACATCGCTGAGCTGAAGTTTGCGAGAGCGGAAAGCGTTTCGGGCTCCGGTGGACTTTTCGATGCGCTGGTTTGCTGGGATACGTTTTTCAAAATCGGCTGGATTGGCTTGTTAGGTCTGGTCCTGGCTTTCGCTTTTTCTTTTCCTTCTTTGGGGGTTTTGAAAGAATGCTGGATCAATCTTACTCTCTGCAGTCTCGTTCTCATTTGATGCCTCGTAGTTCAAAACCAAGTTCTTGATGCGTTGCTGCTCCTCTCTATCGGCCTGCTGCTGGGTCCGCATGGCGACAGCAAAGCTGGAGTCGGACGGGAGGTCAATGGTGCGAGTCTGATATTATTAGTATCATAAATCCACAGCTCCCTCATATAGGCTTTTACAAGAGTATCTTACCTGTTGCTTATTGCCCTTCTTTGTCATCAAAGAGAATGCCATGGTCTTGGGTGGAGCGACAGGCTCAGGCACCTCCATTTCACCAGGGAAATCGGCAGGAGCATTCTCTCGAGCAGGTCTCTTCATTGGCAGCGGGATATCGAAGATGGCTTTGCGTTCGAAACGTCTCGAGTCCGCACTCTCAATCATCATCTTCTCATATTCGCGATCGAATTCGGCCTCGACTTCTGGGTCACGTTCTTCTTCCTGTCGCGTGACGATAATCTGCTCATCTTCCGATTCGCTGTCATCATCTGCTTCCGGGTTAGGCCCAGAGACCTCTTCAGCCTCGTCGCTAGATTCCTGCTCGTCTTCGATGTCAGGAATTGCATCTTCCTCGAGACCTTCGTCGGAGGAGCTGCTCTCTGCAGCATCTTCCTCTTCGTCTGCTTCGATAGGCCGTTCAGAGTCCGGCATGTTGTAGTTCTGGGCAACGGCCTCGCTGAAGATTCGGGTTGCTTCATCGGGGTCCGATGTTAGCTTCCACTGTGGGCGCAGGGTGGAGTAGGTATCTTGGACAAGGAAGTCGATATCCATGGGCATGGGGTCTTTAGTACAAATGTAGTACTGTAAGAAGTTAAGGAAGAAGTCTAGCTTCTTCTTCGCTGAGCCTCGGTCGAAGCAGTGACCACAGGTATCAAGGAGTGTACAAGCAAGACGAAGTCGGAAATAATCATCCGGGGGGTCCAGCATGACAATCCTTCCGGGGATGGGAGTGCCACCTTCATGACCAAAGGTAACAATGCGGTACAATGTATCGAAGATGACGGGGGAGTCGATCATCTTGTAGTTGTACAATTCACCCAGGTACTTGACCTCGGCGATGCGCTTCTGGTTGAACTTGAAGTCATTCTGCTCCAGGCCGAGCGTGATCTGTTCCAGAACGTTGTCAACTACACCAATAACGAAGTCTTGGTGGTATCGATACATGGCGCTGACAAGAATTGCCAGGAGGTGAATGCTGCCATATTTGACCTTGACAGGTTTGCTGAAGACGCGTTCGAGAATATCAACAACCTCTTGCTCCTCCCAATGCAGCTTTCGAATCGCCTTCAAGATCTTAGTGTAGTTGCGCTTGTTCATGTCCAGGTAGATCAGCCGGCGAATGTACTGCTCCATTGGAGTCCGATCCTTCTGCTGGATTGCAGGGCGTGGGGGCGGGTCCACATAGTAGATTGCATTCTCAATCACCATGCGTTCCTGTTGACCAATATGCTGAACGGTCTTCTTTCGACCCAGGGTTTCGAGAAAGGAAGCCATGCGGGGCGAAGTCTCGGGGTTGCGGAGAAGATAACGACCACAGTTTTCGAGCAGGTTTCCAATGATCTCAATATTCATACGGGAGAAATCGTCGAGTGAGACTTTGAAGCAGTGGAAGATAATGTGCTCAGGCACCACACCAAACTTGGTCAACTCGGCGAGATATCGTACATTGCTCATGCGCACTTGTCCAAGGAACTCCTTAGACTTTCTCCGCTGTAGACTTCGAAATTCCTCATCAAGATAGGTCGTCAGGCCCTGTGGGATATCTGGAAGATACTGTCCAAGGGTAGCCACCAAACGCGAGTAAAGAGGCAGAAGATCAACCCGGCCCTTGGGGATATCCGAGACAGCCTTGACGAGCCTATTGCGGGACGCCTTAGAATTGACGAAGCAAAAGTCCAAGGCAAATTGGTCGACCTGGTCCTTGTTCTGCAGATCGGGAAGTTTTCCAGTAGAGCATCGACTTGCGCACCGACAGTTTTACTAGCAATGGCGGTGGATTGGTCGTCAGCTTCAGCTGCAGCTTTTTCCTCGGCTGTTTCGGTCTTCTCTGAGGGCGATTCGGCTGTATTGTCTCCATCTGCTTTCTTCTTGCCAGCCTCGTCGCCCTCGGTCTTCTTTTTCTTGCCGTCCTCCAGAAGCACAGCAGGAACCTTGCCTTTCAAGTCAACCAGATTTTCATAGAAACGTCTCTCCTCTTCATCTTCCCAGATACCTGCACCATCACCTTGGCCACGAAGGTAATCAGTAGTCTTCACCAAACCAATGCCTCCACTCGCGGAAGCATCGGCGGTCTCCTTCTCGACCAGATCTGGCATTTCAGCACCGAGAGCCTCGCAGAGTACCTGAGTATTCGCAACAAGCTTATCGAGCGTCTTGGTCTGCTTCTCGAAATTCGACTGGCGGTCCTCGAAAATCTCGCCACTCTTCACATAAGCTTCAGCATTGCGACGACTCTGATTCGACAAAGCCTTCTGATCCCGTACAACATGCGCCTTAACATCATCCAGATATCGGGTCAAAATATTCTTGAACCGCAGTTGCATCTTCTCTGGCGTCAACGGCGGATCTGCATCCAGAGCAGCAGTAGCAGCAGCATCCGAACCCCCAGCATTCCCATTCTCAGCGCCTGTAGTCGTCGTCGTAGCCGTAGTCGTCGTCACTCCATCAACCTCCACCGTCTTCCTCCCTTCATCAGCTAACTTAGCACCAAGAATATCCCAACTAAAGCTCTTAACAAAGAGCACAGCAAGTGGCAAATTCGTATGCTCCCTATCATGACCCAAAAGATCCTTCAGAACTTCCAGAGGAAACGGCTCCGCCTTCTCGGGATCTCTCGCCGAGGAGGACGGAAACTTCTGCTTTAGCACGGGCTGCTCAGCGGAGGAAGAGGAGATCTTCGCAGGGTCCCCACTACCACCCCCAGCACCACCAGCACCACTACCCTTAAGACCCAAGTCATCAGGACGTTCGACATCATCCAGCGTCCGAAGAACACCAACGAGCCATAATTCCGTGACAACACGCAAAAGGACTCGATGGCGGGCTAAACGATCTTTCTCCTCGCGCTCGCGGAATTCTTGACTCAGTTGCTTGATCTGGGCTTTGTCCGGGGACGTTAGGCCGCGGCCGAGAAGCCAGCCGATGTAGCGGGTGAACTCAGCAGGGCCGAAGCGCTGGTGTAGGGCGGCGACGATCTCGACTCCGACGGCGATTTCGCCGGGCGTTTTTAGCTTGCTGAGGCCTTCGTAGCAGGCGGAGATTATCTCGGATAGATACTTGTGTAGCGAGAGGGTGCGGATATCTGAAAGGAAGGTTGATAAGGCGGATGCGCTGATTCCGGTTCGGAGACGCTTGATGAAGGCGGTGTTTTTCTTCAGAGCTGAGTCGAGGGATTTGCTGACAGGAAAGACATCTATTATGGAGGCAAGGGTAACTTGGGTTAGATAGAGGAACTTGACTTGGCTGGAAGGGGAGGAGGGGGATGAGGGAGGGAGGGAGGAAGCATTATTCGTACCATTTTCGCCTGCCCAAGCTCTCTCGTTCAAATCGCGGAGTTCTCCTGCAGTAAGAAAGGTGTCAGTAGGTCCTGGGGAGAAGTGTGGTAGCTATGCAGGCAGCGCATACTTTTCTTTTGGCGATCCATGGCCGTGTGTGCGTTCGTTCACGGATCGATTCAGTGTGATCCTCTCAGAACGTCTGGGGGGAATCGCAGTGACTTGGACACCACATTGAGGAAATGAGGGGGAATATGGAGGAGAGGAAAGAAGAGTCACCTTCTCCTTGGAATGGGGCAAGTTCAAGTTCTGGAAGCGGGATCGGGATCGGATTGAGCAGCGGGCTGGTCCCCAAGGCGGTGCGGAGGTCGGAGTGCGGGACAACTTCTGCGGGTTACTTTATCTACTGGGTTACTCTTATATCTTTTATACTTGACATGGTTGCACACTCTACTCATTTGGCACATGGGATTTAGTCACTGAACATTCCAGAGTTCCCAACCCAGAGTTCTAGCTCCCACACACAATCCTGCCCTTTAAAGAACCCCACCACATCATCCAAGCGGTCGGGCCACCCTGTGAACCCTGCGCAAGGCCATTCACTATACTCTATACAGGTGACAGGAAGAAGCTCTTGGTATCAAAGAAACAATTTCCCATTGTGTTCAAAATCTCATTATACATGATCAGATCAGATCAAGTTCAAAATCACCAAGCATATCGCTAAACACTTTTAGGTAGCCTCACAGATACCACCATTATCATTTCAACTCCCACATTCAGTTCTCCGTAAACCCTCTCTCCCGACTCCCCTCCACATTCAAAAGTCGCTCCTGCAATTGATGTTTGCGATCCTGGGTACTCCAGCTCTGTCGACGGTCGAATCGGGGCTGCCAGGTTGACTCAGCTTCAGCTTCAGCCTCAGCCGCGACTCTATCATTTCTTTCTCGAAGCGAATGGTCTGTTGACTCGTGGGCTTGGCTGGGGGTGGGGTTGGCTTCTGTCGTGACTGTGTGGTCGCGAGACCGGTCTGGGAGTGAACCTTGGTGGCTAGTGGATTGCATGACAATGGCTTGCGAATGTCTTGATGGGAGATTTTTATACTGGAGTGGAGTGCGGTGTTGGGTAGTAGGTGAGGGTCTGCTTAAGATTTGAATAAGGTGGTGCTTGGTGATCTGGCTCAGGGCACTGATTACCAGTAGGAATTTTGTGTGTAGGTGTAGAAATAATCCGAGGCGTATTATCATGAGGGTAGGTCGGAGGCGAGGTTCTAGATTATAAGTTATGTAGGCCCTGGTGCGGGGATGAGTGGCGACAGTGATGACGATACCCGGCGAAGCTGGACAGATAGCCAGTTTTGTCTGTCAGGGATTCTCGTGGGACTTTGATGGTATGACGTGAAGTCTAAACTCATCTATTCTGTCACTGTGATGTTTTTCTACTTACTAGTTACTACTGTACCTGGTACTTGTGTACATGGTTCCTGGTTGTGGTCTACGAGGGTATCAAAACTGGGGCCTGGTATGTACATACCATCGAGTCATATCCTAGTACAAAGGTCGAATGTACGAATCCAACTCGTTATTGTGCAACGTCACAAGGGCAGGGTTGCACCAAGCAAAGCAGATTAATTACTCTACTATTTACTCTAAGATGACATCGAAGGGACATGGAAAGAACTAACGCTTTTAAAATTCGACGAGCTAACGTACAAGTCATGACGGCATCCAACCCTCGAAGGACTCTTCGAGTCAGCCGAGAATGAAAGGAGAAAGAAATGGGAAAGGGAAAGATGAGTCAGGCAAAAGCAGAAAGGAACTAAGATACATGAGCACGATCTATAATAAGATGAGCCGGGGTCGCAAGTATCAGAAATACAAGCACAAGAATACCCAGAGACCTCATGGGATCAGACATCATCTCAGCGGGTGACAGGTCGATGACTCTAGGACCAGGTTACGAACTTTGCGAAGGAACCGAATACAAGAAACAGGAAAGAGGAACGGAAGAAAATCGACCGTGAGAAGCGTCATGCATGAGAACGCAGACAATCGCGAGAGACAGCCAACATGGAACAGATACACTGGCTTTGACGCTGCACACACGCACATACACACACACATCATACAGCTCCATAAGAATCATGAAGAACAACCAAAAAGTCGACGGAAAGCAGTATTCGAGAAGATTGGAGGGAAAGAATGATGAAAACAAACCCAAGCATCAAAAGGAACAGAAAAGATTAAAGATAAAACAGATTAAAATCAGGGTATGCCTCACGCCACGCTATGCAATTCACCTCTTCGGATCTGGGGTGATCAAAACACTGCAGATATGTACTAAAAAGCCAATCAAACCAGAAAGGCTGTGGAAGATAGATGGATTCTATCTATCCATTTATTTCGGCTTGCGCCAGAAATATTGCTATGAAAACGTTAGCTGGGCTGCCTCATTTTGACGAAAAGTTGGGACTTGAGGATTTTGACAAACCTTGTGCTGCTTGCGACAGTTACGCAGGCCGGGTTTGCCCATCTTATGCGCCTCCAGGCGCGTGGGATCATGGTCAAAGTCCGGCACATAGTAGTATTCCGCTTCGAGGGGTTTGCCAGCGGCGTCCTTGCCCTGGCGAGATACCTGTCCAATGATGTCGGTGTTTTCCAAGATAGAGCGAATCTCGACTCTTGAGGGGCCGGTAGGTGATCCAACAGACTTTCGAATATCGGGAGGGAAGTTGTTCAGGATTGTGGAGAAAGGTGTGGAGGCTAGACGGGAGAAGGCGAGCTGGTTGGCAGCGTGGTTGCGGATTCTAGTGATGCTCTCCTCATCCATTGAGGGGTTGACGTATTCGTCAGACTTGTCACGCTTGTGATAGTGGGAAGACTGATTGGGGGACAGGGCTGGCTGGAGAGGTTGGGCCGGCAGCAAGCTGCTTGGGGAGCGGGCCGAGCGAACGGGCGAATCGCCGGCATGGAAAGAGGCCATGCGTGGCAGGAGATTCTCGCCAAAAGGTCCAAAGGAGTGGATAATAGGGTCATTCTCCTCATCGTTCTCTCCATCAGACTCCTCCTCATGTCGACCCAGGTCGCTACCCTGGAACCTTTGCAGGAGTACACTGGCATGACGAGCACTGGGGGAAGTGATGCCAGCAACGGTATTGTGACGCTTCAATGGCGATCCTTGATCTTCATATACAACAACGGGGGCTCTGGTACGCGAGGGAGAGAATAGCGGCGAGGACGGCGGGATAGTCCGCTGCACTGCAGGAGACGGAGAGACAGGCGAAGCCAAACGCTGGTTCTCCCGGAAAGGGCTATCTTGCAGAGCACGAAGAGGTCTCCTTTGGGTTGGGGTTGCTTCATCACAGGTCTGTTCAGAGTCGGTGGATGGGCAGTCCTTCCGATCATGCTCATTATCATTCCGAGGCCATTGCACCAGCACGCGAGACTCATGAACATCAATCATGATATCAGCATCCTTGATATCCGAGGTAAATGTTTTCCCTTTAGCCAAATCATATTTCTTTCCCTGGCAATGGATCTTAATCCCGTTCCATCCCATGCACATAATCTCCACTCTATCCCGGTCGAAGGGGTTCGGTGCCGGTTTGTAAGTAGCCTTTACATGAACACGAGAAATCATGCGGCTGTTGGCTAGCTGATGCTGGCACGAAGCACTTGATCGACCCATCAGGAGCGGTTCTCCATTATCCGGCAGCATCAGTTCCGGCACGGTCGACAAGGGAGCTCGTTCGGAGGCGGTTGAAAAGATACGACGGGCAGTTTGGCGAGCGGCAGGAGGCGAGGAGGACATAATATGGGTCGAAGAGGTTGGGACGGGAGTAGGATACATCGAAACGGCGGGTTCGCGTGCAACACGCTTCTGAGGGCGAGGCAGAGAGGGGGGATGAACTCAAGGGCTCGAAGGCCGGCAGCAACGACGCAGGACGTTTTGTGCCGGCAATAGGAGCCAGGCTGCTCCTACTAGGTGAAGACTCCATCATGAGTGGAATAGGAAGAACCTAGAACCCTGGTGTTAATCCCACACGAGCTCCTTTTTGGACGAGAGGCGAGTCGAGCTCGAGACTCGCGTCACCGCGTAAATATTGGAGACAGAGAGAAGGGAGAGTAAATAAGAAGTAAAGAGACAAGTCGAAGAGGATTCAGGCCAGCACTCAGACCACAAGGACCTCAAAAGAAGAGGGGGGTGGGGGAAGGGTTTGCAGGTCAGGAAGGGAGGGAAGAGAAAAAGGTGTGTGGTGGGAATGTCGTCCTGGGGCGGAGGGTCTCGTTCTGCGCGGAAATGCACGCTTACAGCCCGACGCGTTCGATAGGCGCCGGCGAGGGTTCACGGGCTCCACTGCTCTGAGGATACACCTGTACTTCAATTGATGAATATCCACAGGGAACCAACTCTGTGAAAAAGCAGTTGTAGTAGGAAGTTATATGAAATAACTAAAAATAATATCTACCCTACAATTTACTCCCTTCCTCTACATGTCTTGCAGCTTGATCTATACCGAGTCTCGGCCAGGCGCGACCGCGTCTGAACTCACGTGACACGATACAGTACTAGTGGTGGAGCTGGGCACGCGAGTGAAGTATGGAGCAACCAGTGAGTGACCAGTAACTATCTCTAGTGTGGTATGGTATGCAGTGGTGACAGCCTGCGGTATGTTTCAGTCGTCCTGGCATCGGGCGATCTTGAAATGAAGAGTGTTCTGCTGGCACATTTGGTTGCAAAATGTGTTGTGACAAGTGAATACTAATCCCCCCCCCCCTCAAGAGTTACTAGTGTATGTACAGACAGACCTCCGGGATGGGGGGAGAGCCGAGGTACGTCAACAAATACTGAATAGCAAAAGAAGTGAATAAATTAAGCAGAGATTGTCATGTATGTTCTATTGATGAACATTCTGCCGTAATTCCCAACCTCAGAATAAAGCAATTGTCTCCTAGCATAGTGGATATTGACGTGAACTGACGCGCTAGCAAATTTTACTCCGCGGGGGTCCAGAAGGCGCGTGGTTTGCCTTACCTTACGCCACGTCAATTGCCAACTCCAGAACAGAGTAAATTGCAATAATTAGGAATTGGTAGAAACTATATACTGATTTTAAATAATTAACAAAGACTTGCACACTGATCACTACTCAAAAAATCAAATGGTGGTTCAACTTTATACCACATTCACCCGATCGGAGCAAGAACTTTCGATTTCAAGACACACCGTAAGAACCGTCAAGATACAAAGCAACATAGCGGGGCGGGAAAAGAAAAATGCACAACCAACCCCTCTCGGTGAAGTCCTTTGGGCTGAATGTGCATACACAGACTCGCTTAAGCCAGAAAAAAAAACCACTTACCGCAAACCGAAGGTGCGCGCGTGCTGTAGCTTGTAGCTATCCAATGTACAGACTGGAGTACACACGTACATACATCCCAGTCATGACAGCTTCGCCCCTAGCATCTACATCACAGGGTCAAGCCAAGAATACTGGGCGAATGAAAATTTAGGAGAAGAGAAACGTAAATGAGGTCTCCAGGGCTACGAGCGACAATCGATGAAATGATAAGCAGAAAATGCAAGACGCCACACTTGCCTGGGGGACTATCGGAATGAAGGGACACTTCCAGATAAGATGGTGAAGCTTCCATATTTCATCCAGCAAGATTTAATAGCAAGTCCGTTACAATGAACATCTGGGCGCAGCTGCAGAATGGAGCTTCAGGCTTGACCTCGCCTTGGTGTTAATGTTGCGCGGCACATACAGTAGGCAACAAGTTACCTGAAGCAAGGGCAGACCAGTTATCGGAGTACGGAGTGGGAGTCCTATGGCCACGATGCCATGGACCTCAATCGGAGCGTGGCCTGTCAGATCGATGGATCACATTCTTAATCTGGGGAACCTGGCCAGGGTTACTCAGGAGATGGCCGATCTTTACCATTTAGCGTATCTTGTAATGCAGACTTTCCTGATAAAAGTCGGTGCAATTCATGGAAATTGCAGATGATCTGGGGCTCTAGTCGAAATGCTGGCAAGGGGGGAGTGCCTGGTCTAGAACAGAGTTGGTGATCAGACACAATCCATCAGGTTGGTCCTTCTACATCAAGAAGAGGGTGAAGGGTGTCGAGATTGACAATGGGTCATGAATCATGGATCAATGATAAAACAAAACACTAACACGGGGTGGCTAGCAAAGTAAATGCTATCAGTTAGCTCGCTGCTGCCTCAATTGATGGCATGTCGGTGAGTAGCAATCAATCTCCGCTTCACAATTGATCGCGAACAAAACCAAGTAGGCAGACATGCAGAGGGTGGAGACCCCAAAAAAGTATGAATGAAGACAAAAGTATTATCTGATCGAAAGGTTGCACTTGAAATAAAGTCTAATCAGATAGAAAGAACCCACAGGGTGAATAATTTCACCCTGAAGGGTATTAGGTAGAAGAAGAGAAAAAAATAACAAAGATTGGATTTCCCCCCAAAAACGACCCCTCATAAAACAAGATAAAATTTAAGATACACAGAAGTGAGAAACCGTGATATGGACAGAAACACAAACAAGTACGAGGCAAGAGCAACCTCTCGCCGCGCGACGAGTCTGGGGGTAAAGTGCGAAAAGAAGAACTCGTTCAAGGCCATTGGCCTGTGTTTTCTCGGGGAAGAGGCCCAATTGTTATTGACGAGCAATTTAGGCAGATGAGAAGACGAACTTGGCGTTGCCAGAGGGGGAGGCGGCCTGCGATGGAATGTTAGAAATACTCTCATGATAAAGTGGTCTGCTCCGAAACTTACAGTGCAACCGTTGCTGCCATCGGTAATCTTGACACCGTCCTTGTAAAAGTTGCCCTTGCCGTCGTAGGAGCACTTGATGGAGACGTCACCGGTGAGGGTAATCGCGAAGTCGAGGTCGGCATCGGTGGTGGGCTCGTTCTTGAACATGGACAACCAGGTGGAACCGGCGGAGTAACCGACACCCAGGTTCATGGGGGCCCAGTTACCGATGGGAGAAGAGCCATTACCCCACTGGCAACCCTCCTCGGGGGAGACACCGGCGTTGTTGACGTAGTACTGGGCGGAGGTGGACTTGCCCTCCCACTTGAAGTAGGTGGCACCGTTGGGGCAGGTCAGGGGCTGAGTCTCACCGTGGCCAACACCCAGAGGGATGGTCTCAGACTCAGTACCGGGGTAATCGGTACGACAGACAGCGACCTGCTGGCCGACGTTGTTCTCGACCTCAACGCCGCCAGTACCCTCGATACAGAGAGTGGAGTGGGCCTCGTTGGTACGGTAGAGCTTGCCACCCTTGCAGTGGAGACCACCAACGGACTGGCCAGTGGAACCCTGGGTAGAGGGCCAGTGGGCCTTCTGGAAACCGGCAGGGCAGGCGTAAGAGCACATGGCACCTTCAGTGCAAGACTCACCGCTGACGGCGGTAACAATATCGCTGATCACCTCATCGAGGAGAGTGACGTACTGGATACCGGAGAAACCACCGAGGCCAAGGTAGGGCAGAGCGACGGCACCGTACTCGGAGGGGAAGGTGCCACAGTCAATCTCACCATCGGGGAATTCGGTGGTCAGGCCCTTGGCGGAAGCGTAAGAGCTGGAGCTGGAGCTGGTGCTGGTGCTAGCGCTGCTGGTGGAAGCAACGCTGGAGGTCGAGGAGCTAGAGCTGGTAGTGGGCTCAGCAGTGGAGGTGGGAGAAGGGCTGTTGGGGGTGATGGCAGCGGAGGTCTCCAGAAGCTCCTGGGCAGCAATAGTGGGGGTCTGGGTCGGGGTGCTGGTGCTCGACGGGGTAGGAGTAGGGGTGCTGGTCGGGCAAGCGTTGGCGACGGCATCACCGTACCACTCGAGGCTGTCGTCAGCCAGACCGGCGCAGGCATCCTTGTTGCTGATCTCGTCGGTTTTACCAGACTTCTCGAGGACAACAAAGTCGTAGACAGTGGGGCCGGCGACAACAGCGGTGTCGGTCTCGGTCTCAACAGCGCGCTTGTGGAAGTGGGCGTGGCCGTGGCCGTGGGCGGCCACCAGGGAGCCCGCCGTGGCCAGAGTCACGGCAACGGAGTTGGAAAACTTCATTTTGAATTGCGAGGAGTTTCAAGTTGCTAATCTATTGGTAGTCAATCAGGTCAGCCATCGCATTCATCTCCATGTTGAGTGGATCTCTCAGTAGATATCGTGCCCCCCTAAAAGCCCAGATGCCAGAGCCGCGCTAGATGATGAACAAGATGATCCTCTGGATCTATCGCAACACAGTGCGGTTTGCGGTGCAGAATGATGCGCAATGATAAATGTCCTGGTCTTCGCTGCGCGTTTCTCGCATCCATCGATCGTGAGTGGAGTGGAGGTCTTCTAGCGTACACCATCTCCTCCGGGGTAAGGGGATTAGATCAGATTGGGCATCACATACATCAACGGCAAACCAGTCGCGCGATTTCGTAAGGCTGTACACGGAAAGTGAGGAATCGAGATTCAAAGAGAGTGTTGCGTTTTCCGATAAAAGAGTGTGATGAGAGACGAATCCCTCTAGGTCGGATAGGAAAACTCGGAGTGAATGGAAGGGAGAGAGAAGGAGAGAGTGTAAATCCCAGGGGGGCGAGGGGATTGAGTCTTCAGTGTATGGGAATACGCAGTATGGTAACCCGTCCATACAATTTGGTGTCTGTGCCTGGCTGCCCCACTACTGTTGTGGGCAAAAAAAGGGGTGGTCTGCATACAGAATTGTCTCACAATACAGATACATACACAAGTACACAAGTACATACACACACAGTCGTATGGAGACACTGCCTGGTGGATCCTCTAGGCGCATCACTAGTCTAAAGGCCTCGACTGCTCTTGTTGC